CCGATTGATTAATTCATACTGCTTAGGATAATTAACCGTATTTATTATTGCTATTTATTATTATATGAATTTTTTTTTTATTGAAAATTTTTAAATTTTACAAAACAATACCCTCCCCCGACCTTCCCAGAGCTGAATACAGGCTTAATTAAAAAATTTTCAAGAAGTCTTAAAACAGATATAAACCATAAACAAATCTAAATACATTAATTAAACAAGTAGTAAAATAGTTGAGAATAATATATGTATAAAAAGACAAAAATACAAGGAAATACAAGAAAATAGGAAAAAAGAAAAAGGAAAGAAATAAAAAGAAAAAAGAAAAGGAAAGGAAAATCTACAAAGTCTGTAAAATATCTTAAATTTTAAGTATAAGTTATTGAAAAGCTAAATAATATTTTTTTATCTCCAACCTATATTGTATAAAGTCTATCCATTTTTTCCATACCAAAAAATACTTCTCTTGCGATTGGTCTTTCAAGAAAGCCGAAATCTTTGCCATTTCCGCCAAATAAGAAACTTTAAAATATTATATGAATTATTGTTATTTAAATATATGTACCCCAGACCATATTCTGTTTGCTAAATATTGAACATGTTATTGGGGGATAACCCCAATCCTGTCCCCAACTCCGCCCAAACCCTAACCCTGATCCCAACCTCAACCTAAACCCTAACCCCCACTCTGACCCCATTCTATTCCCAATCCTATAAAATCTAATAATTTTTTTTAAAAAAAAAGAAAACCACCAAGCTCAGAGAGCACCAAGGACCCCACAGTCCTCCTCCTCCTCTTCTCCCCCTCCCCTCCCCAGCACTGATGATGTTATGTAGTTGGGTCATGAAACGTCTGCAAGAAGACCACCAAACTCTGAGCGCACCAAGGATGCCAACAGTTCAACCCGGAGCTATGAATATTCTCTTTTAGCCTACTTTCTCCATACGGTGTTCAGTCTCTGGACTTGATCTGTTGTTTCTCTGATGAACATTCAGCGATTTGAGCTCACAGCCACTTAAGTATTTCCTTGGGGCTGAGAATTGTTGGGCTACCATGCTAAGGATTATTCTACCCCATCGTCTTTCTGTTGGGATCCACTTCCTTCTGATCAGGACTTTGCTGATCCTTTGCGTCTTGGATCATTCTCTGAGCAAAGTGATATGACTCTATATAGTTTCCAGCAGATCTAAAATCATTTAAAAAAAAAAAAAAACCTCAGTTGCCTTCTTTGATAAGGCTTAGGGTGACTGGTCCATCATGAATCCACATTTTTCAAGAAAAGCTGGAGGGTGTGTGTTGAAACAATTGATATATTTCTTCTGTTAAAGATCCGTTTTGGAAAAAGAGCTCTAAGCTTGTTTTTTTTTAAAAAAAAAAGTTTTTATTGATTTTCTAATTTTACATTTAAATATTTAAAAAGCAACGTGGCGGCTGAGTTGATCGATAATTCAGTGACATACAAATATCTTTAGTGCAAGTCTCAAACTCCTACATTAAGTATTTTCTTTCTTTTCCCCTTAGTATTTACTGTCTCGTGTTTAAACTGGTACAATTCTTATTACATCCATTTAATTAAAAATAACTTTTTTACATTTATCAAAAAATTTTAATTTATACATATCCTGGTTATTTTAACATTCAATCTTTATAGACAATCAATGTCCTGATTAGTTTTTCCCAATTTTTTGTTTCCCATTAATATTTACGTTTAACATTGAACATTTATAATTTCCAAGTTTTAAAAGACCACAATTCCCTTTATCACAATTCATCGTAAAATCTAATATTCAGAATACACATCTATTTAAATATATTCTATTTCTCACCATCTTACATCAGCTAGTTAATAATACAGCTCTAAGCTTCTTCTTCTTTTTCTCCGTGGATTCTATATGTTAAATGTTAAACTTATTTGGTATTTAGATCATTTTTTCTCTCTCTCTTTGTGTGCACACCAATTCCCCCCCGCTTTTTTGTTGCTAACGCTGGATGTACATTTTTGTTTTTGTTGGTTTGTTCTTCAGTTTTGCATTTTACCTTTTATGATAAAACAAAATAAATATCTACTTGAGAGGAAAAACGGCTCCATAGAGACATCTTTTGATCAGGATGGTAATTTGTTTACTCGCACAAAACCTTTTAGAAGAAACGTGAAGCAACCTAATGAAACCTTACAGTTATTTGTTCTATTTGAAGCTCCACATTGAAAAAGACAGAACAAATATTGAGTTCTTTTGCTGTGGCCACAAGTCCACCCAAAAAAATGTCTGCAGGAGATGAGTACGACAAGGTCAGGCAGAGATTGAGGGCAGAGTCAAGAGAGGAATCAGCCTGGAATAGGTTCCACATGCATTCCAAATCGAATCTTTCTTGAATTCCAGTGACTCTTATCTACCACCAGTCTAGTCCTGTTAGTTGACTAGATTCTTGTGTATTGCTAAGAGTAATAAATCAGTTTAACTGGAACTTCACATGTGGCCCTGATTTTTCACCCTTGACAGGTAGTTATAAACGTATCATAATTTTTAATGTCTAGAATCATATTATTTCAGTTTTCGTTGCCATCTCAGAGCTAATGTTGATTTCCAATGTGGACGATAAAGGATTTGTACTATACTTACAATGAAGAATAGGAATCTTAGCAGCGGAATTACACTTTTCATTCTTTGTTAAAATGTTCTGTTCGGAACCTAACTTCCTGGTGATCAATGTTCTCCAGATGTGTCTATCCCAGGGGTAGACAACCTTGGCTCTTTTATGACTCATGGACTTCAACTCCCAGAATTCCTGAGCCAGCCAATCTAGGACAGGGGTAGGCAACCTTGGCTCTTTTATGACTCATGGACTTCAATTCCCAGAATTCCTGAGCCAGCCATGCTGAGGGAAAAGGGAGAGGTTTCCAAGCTGAGCCATGCTGGCTCAGGAATTCTGGAGTTGAAGTCCACCAGTCATAAAAGAGCCAAGGTTGCCTACCTCTGGCCTAGGCCTAGGCCGCTTTATGACTCATGGACTTCAACTCCCAGAATTCCTGAGCCAGCCTGGCTCAGCTTGGAAACTCTCCCTTTCCCCTCAGCATGGCTGGCTCAGGAATTCTGGGAGTTGAAGTCCACAAGTCATGAAGGGGCCATAATTCCCCCATGCTGGCTCAGGAATTCTGGGAGTTGAAGTCCACGAGTCATAAAAGAGCCAAGGTTGCCTATCCCTGGTCTAGGGAGATTCTCAATCATCCAGGTCATGGTTGTCGTCAAAGTGCTTTTTCAAAAGACAACTGGACTTTGTTTTTCCCTGAGGACATTTCTCGTCCAAGAAGCTTTGATTTCAATTCCTATTACCACTGGATAAATGTCAGGAATGCTTCTTCAGGAATGAAGAAGAGTGCTCTTCCTGGTTTTAGGAATTCACGTTGAGCGTTGAGTTGGGTACGTTTTCCTGCAATTTTTCTGAGCTCTCCATGGTTCTGCAGCTTCCTAACAGGCAGCTTAGTTTTATGCAAGGCACTGCTAAATGTTGCAGGATTTAGCCACATGGAGTTAAAACAGCCATTGGAGAGTCGTTTGTTTTTTTTTAAGGGCAGTGAGGAGAGCAACCAGCTCTTTGTTGTGTTATGTGCCATTGTTGCTCTGCACAGATTTTAATCCTGTTTTAAAAATCTCTGTTTGGGGGGGAAATAAGATTCCCCCAGTTCTTTAAAAGTTGCCCACAGCAATATAGTTTAGGCAACCTTGACTCTTTTATGACTCGTGGACTTCAACTCCCAGAATTCCTGAGCCAGCATGGCTCAGCTTGGAAACCTCCCTTTCCCCTCAGCACGGCTGGCTCAGGAATTCTGGGAGTTGAAGCTTGCTGAGAATTAGCAGTATGGAAACGTTTCAAGGTCATTCTAGCAGGTATGAAGAAGATAGCAGATGGTTCCCTTAACAAAGAGAACTTGTTTACATAAACTACGGGGACATCTGGGGAGGTTTGGCTGTTATATGCCAGAGGCAGCACTCAGAGCCCTCTCTGTGGGCACGCGCACTGTCACCCCAGCCCTGTCTCCCCCCACAGCCCCCTCCTCACCAGCAGCCCCCCCAGAGGAGAGTTGCCCCCAACCACGGCCAGTGCGGAGCAGTGCAGCCAAGAAATGGCAGCCAGGCAGTGGGACCAAGACTCTGCCCTTGCACCCCGTCGCACGCAGTTGATGCTGCGGGAAGCGGGCAGAGAGTGTGGATGCTATGGCACTGCTGGGCTGCCTGGGCAATCTGCGGTGGGCTGTGAAGGTGGTGGGTGGCCCTGTGGGTGGGGCAGGGGGGGCGGAACAGGGGCAGGGGTGGGTTTTGGACACTCAGTCTCTAAACCAGTGGTTCTCAACCTTTTTAATGCCGCGACCCCCAACCGGTCGTAAGTCGAGGACTACTCAACCAGTTGTAAGTCGAGGACTACTCAGCTGGTGCAGCACCATTTGCAGAATGGGACTTTTGGCGGGCTCAGCAGGGCAGAGACAGCCTGGACAATTCCTATTGGCTTTGGAAAGGCAATAGAATTAGACTCTATTCAAGAGAGTCTATTCTATTGGCTTTCAAAAGCCAATAGAATAAAAGGGAGTAGCACAGCTAAGGAAAAGGGGGGGGGGGAAATGGCGGACTGCGTTGTTTGGCGACCCCCGTGAAATGGTCGTTCGACCCCAAATGGGGTCCTGACCCACAGGTTGAGAACCACTGCTCTAAACGGTTCGCCATCACTGTTATATGCCGTTACAGTCTGATGCCTGATGACATTATAGAGTTCATTTTACTTCACCTTCGCCAGGCCGTGTATCCAATAAACAGTCAGCTTTTCAGAAATGAAACTAATCCTGGACTTTTATTTGGACACTCGACCTGGAGATTAACACGTCTCCCCTAACAACAGAAAGTTTGGGTTCAGTCGTAGGCCGAGGACCACCCGTCGTTCTTTGGCTTTGCAACATGAAGTGGGCCTGCTTTGGACCCCGCGGCGATTAAAATGTCCTTTTCTGTTTCAGAGAGCCGTATGATCCTGGATGCTTTTGCTCAACAGTGCAGCCGAGTTCTCAGCCTTTTAAACTGCGGAGGGAAACTTCTGGAGAAGAACCGCCCCCCGCCCCTGCCTTCTTGCGTCAAACAAGAGAGCCCGACTTTCAATGAGAGGCCGGAGCATTGCCAGCTCGGCAAAATGGTCCACAGCCAGACCTCCGAAAACGTAGACTTCGAATTGCAGTACATGCAGAAGAAGCAGCAGACCTCAGCTTTCCTGAGGGTCTTCACCGATTCCCTTCAAAACTATTTGCTCTCGGGAGGCTTCACCTCGCAAAACGCCTCCTCGGCGGGGGATTTCGGTCATTTGGCCGACATGGACCCGCTTTCCACCTCTCCGGTGCACACGTTAGGGGGATGGGCTTCTCCGGCGACTTCGGAGTCCCACGGTCACCCGTCTTCTTCCACCCTCCCGGAGGAGGAGGAGGAAGAGGAGGAAGGCTACTGTCCTCGTTGCCAAGAGTTGGAGCAGGAGGTGATTTCCTTGCAACAAGAAAACGAAGAACTCCGAAGAAAGTTGGAGAGCATTCCAGGTAACGTGATGCTATTGGTTGAGGCTTCGGGGTAGGATGAAGCACCTCCTGGTGCTCCCCGCAGCATTTTCGGATGAAAGAGAGGAGTAGCAGGGTGATACCGTAATACATAGTACACTAATATGGGTATTCCTTGATTTACGGCTGCAACTGTGCCCAGAATTTCCATTGTTAAACAAGACAATTGTTGAGTTCTGCCAAAACATTCTTGCCACAGTTGTTAAGTTGTTTCTCCCACGACCTGGTTTCAAGCAGGCCACAGCCTAGTAGGGGCCACAACCCGGGAGTTGGGGGTGGGTCTATGACAATTTGCTGGAGTCAACTCGGTATGGCTAACTTGCCACTGCCAACTCATCAAGGCCAACTCATCAAGGCCAACTCATCATGGCCCACTCACTCATCATGGCCCACTCATCATGGCCAACTCACCAAGGCCAACACATCACGGCCCACTCATCATGGCCAACTCATCATGGCCAACTCATCAAGGCCAACTCATCATGGCCAACTCACCAAGGCCAACTCACCAAGGCCAACTCATCAAGGCCAACTCATCATGGTCAACTCATCACAGGCCAATTCATCACAGGCCAACTCATCACAGGCCAACTCATCACAGGCCAACTCATCACGGTCCACTCATCATGGCCCATTCATCATAGCCAACTCATCAAGGCCAACTCGCCAAGGCCAACTCATTGTGGCCAACTCGCCAAGGCCAACTCATTGTGGCCAACTTGCTAAGGCCAATTCATCATGGCCAACTCATCACAGCCAACTTTCCAGGGCCAGCTTGTCACAGGACAATTCATTGCGGGACAAGAGTTACACTAACATCAAAGAAATGGTGGAACAGAATCATTAAAGAAAAGATGCAAAAGGAGGGACAGAATAAAATGGGAACGGCAAAAATTAAAATTTTTATTTATTTAGTTTAAATAATTAAATAGAATCATTAAGTTGTCCCATGGCGAGTTCTCCAGCGGTGAGTTGGCCATGGCGAGTTGCCGCCTTCGAGGTGGGGGACCCCAGCTCTCGTCGGTTTTGCTCTTAATTGAATAAGTCTGATTGTGGGAACTTTCTCATTGTTCGCAGTGCCCTGCCAAACTGTTTTAGACTACTTGAAGATGGTCCTCCAGCATCACAATCAACTGATGTTGCCGCAGACGGTGGAGCAGCCAGCAGAGGTAGGTCTTGATGGTGACAAGAGGGGGGTCATCAATGGAAAGATTTGGTCAATATGAGCTCTCAGAAGAACGGGTCAGCGCTGGATGGAGAAACAAGAGTTTCACTTCTTAAGCAATGTGAGTTCTTATTGCTCGGGGGCAACACACTAGATTCGTGAGAGCCTGTGGACCAGCAGGGGTTCTGCATAAAAGGTCTTCATCAAGACTTAGTTTATAGGTTCCTATCTAATACAGGTAGTCCTTGACAGATATGCACAAGATTAGAGGAAGAATTATTTGATGATTCAAATGCACTGACTTGGAAAGTTAGTTGGCAAAGGAAGAAAGCCTGAGTAAGACTGAAGAAAACAGAAGCTTTGACCTATTACAGGGGATATTATATTAAATTAGAGGTTTGAATATGGTTAAGAATAGCTTGCTAGAAATAGGAATATTATTATAACTAGATAGATAAGATTGGTCATCAGAATATCATATTTTGGCATGAAGAGGGAAATAAGAAAAGGTTAAGAATTTTGAACAAGGGAAGCTTTTGGTTACCCAAATATAACTTGTTTTGAAACTAAAAACAGTTGGGATATTTTGAATATGGATGGGAAAATAAAACTGAAAAAGAAAAGGTGAAAATAGGATACTGACTGACTAAATGGATATTGGGTGCAAATGCAATTAAGGTACGTTTTGGTTAGAAAAGATATTTTAAACTGATCTCCTTCATACTATTAGAAAACTGTAATAAAGGCTGATATTCAACTGCATATCTATTAATAACAATAAGAACTGTATTTACTTAATATGGATAAATGTTTATCGCCAGAAGAAGAGAGGAGGTATTGGAGGGTGTAGTAATATTGGATTTAGTTTGAAGAAGCTTGTAAGTACCACGGAATTACTAAGGGATCCATTTGACACGTTGTTTATTAAGCACTTGTTTGTAAAAACAGAAAATTTAAAAAATTATATATACATACACACACACACACACACACACACACACACACAAAGACTTAGTTTATAGGTTCCTAGTGTCATGGTTCCAACAGATGAAACTCTTCAAAGAACTTTGAGGCATTGTTTACCTTAAAGAATCTTTATTCGAGTAGCATAGCATCGGCATGTACATAGGCCAAGCCAAAATCTGAATTCCCCTCCCCTGAGCACATAGTATCAAAGCACAATTCCCCCCTCCAATTAACAGTCATAAATCACATTCTCCAATTAGTTTGAAATGCAGGCTTTCCCTCAAGTTCTTCAGCCCGGCCAATTTTTTATCATCTCTTATTTCAATAACCTTGGGTCTCATACTAGGTCCAGTATTGTTATGTCTAGCTAAACTCCCATGCACATTCCTTCTCCTCCCCTCCAGTATCATATAATTCTAACTCCAATTCTAAGAATAAAACATAAGAAGGAAAACGGTTGCATCTTTTGTGTATCTGGCATTTGAACTCCACCCTCTTTCTCTTCTTCTTTGGTGTCCTGGCAACCTGGGAATGCTAGTTGCTTTGGGGTTTATGCTCGAGCAGAGGGGGTTGGACTAGAAGACCTCCAAGGTCCCTTCCAACTCTTATTATTCTGTTATCCTGTTGTTTTATTCTGTTGTAGTGTTATTTTGTTGCTATTCTGTTGTTATTGTTATTCTGCTATTTTGTTATTGTATTCTGTTATTCTGCTATTCTGTTATTCTGTTCTGTTATTCTGTTCTGTTATTCTATTCTTTTAATGTGTTATTCTGCTATTCTATTTTCTGTTATTCTGTTGTTATTCTGTTATTCTATTCTTTGAATATGTTATTCTGTTATTCTATTCTTTGAATGTTATTCAGCTATTCTATCATTCTGTTCTGTTATTCTGTTGTTATTCTGTTACTCTTCTGTTATTCTATCCTTTTAATGTGTTATTCTGTTATTCTATTCTGTTATTCTATTCTTTGAATATGTTATTCTGTTATTCTGTTCTGTTGTTCTATTCTTTGAATGTTTTCTGCTATTCTATCATTCTGTTCTGTTATTCTGTTGTTATTCTGTTACTCTATTCTGTTAATCTATCCTCTTAATGTGTTATTCTGTTATTCTATTCTGTTATTCTATTCTTTGAATATGTTATTCTGTTCTGTTATTCTGTTATTCTATTCTTTGAATATGTTATTCTGCTATTCTATAATTCTGTTCTGTTATTCTGTTGTTATTCTGCTATTCTATTCTGTTATTCTATCATTTTAATGTGTTATTCTGTTATTCTATTCTTTGAATATGTTATTCTGCTATTCTATCATTCTGTTCTGCTGTTATTCTGTTACTCTATTCTGTTATTCTATCCTCTTAATGTGTTATTCTGTTATTCTATTCTGTTATTCTATTCTTTGAATATGTTATTCTGTTATTCTGTTCTGTTGTTCTATTCTTTGAATATGTTTTCTGCTATTCTATCATTCTGTTCTGTTATTCTGTTGTTATTCTGTTACTCTATTCTGTTAATCTATCCTCTTAATGTGTTATTCTGTTATTCTATTCTGTTATTCTATTCTTTGAATATGTTATTCTGTTCTGTTATTCTGTTATTCTATTCTTTGAATAAGTTATTCTGCTATTCTTCATTCTGTTCTGTTATTCTGTTATTCTATTCTGTTATTCTATTCTTTGAATATGTTATTCTGTTATTCTATTCTGTTATTCTGTTTCTCTATTTTTTGAATATGTTATTCTGCTATTCTATCAATCTGTTCTGTTATTCTGTTGTTATTCTGTTATTCTATCCTTTTAATGTGTTCTGTTATTCTATTATTCTCTTCTGTTATTCTGTTCATTCGATTATTCTTTTATTCTGTTCATTCTGTCAGTCCATTGTTGTTCTGCTATTCTGTTGTTATTCTGTTATTTTTTTTTTAGGGGAGCAAGCAATTGCTGAACAATTATCCCGTCTTCATCACTAGCAAACAGTGGGACGAGGCCGTCAACTCCTCCAAGAAAGACGGGCGGCGTCTCCTTCGCTACCTCATCAGATTTGTCTTCACCACCGATGAGCTTAAGTACTCGTGCGGCCTTGGGAAAAGAAAAAGGTCAGTGCAGTCAGGAGACACTGGTCCTGAAAGACGGCCTCTGGATCCAGTGAAAGTAACATGTCTCAGAGGTACTGCATCTTTTCACTCAACGTCCGCCATGCCACAATCTCATTTCACCAGATTAGACGTGCGGTAGAGAAGGGAGGGTCTTCTGGGGACGTCCAGGAGCTTAGATGGAGTTGATGGACAGAAAGGGTCCGAGATGCCACCTCCCTTTGGATCCTTTCCTTCCGAGGTCTCCACGGGAGGACATCCTTAGGAGATCAATGATGGACGGTGGGAATCTTCTTTCCCTCTCAACGACAAGTCTAAAGAGCGTGATGCGTTCTCCTGGGTTGCTTCTGCTAGGTCCCAATGAGGTCCTCCTGGACCAGCAGTTCTCCACCTGTGGGTCGGGACCCCATTTGGGGTCGAACGACCATTTCACGGGGGTCGCCAAACAATGCAGCCCGCCATTTCCCCCCCCCCTTTTTCCTTAGCTGTGCTCCTCCCTTTTATTCTGTTGGCTTTTGAAAGCCAATAGAATAGACTCTCTTGAATAGAGTCTAATTCTATTGGCTTTCAAAAGCCAATAGGAATTGTCCAGGCTGTCTCTGCCCTGCTGAGCCTGCCAAAAGTCCATTCTGCAAATGGGGCTGTACCAGTTGAGTAGTCTTCGACTTACGACCGGTTGAGTAGTCCTTAACTTAAGACCGGTTGGGGGGTCGCGGCATTAAAAAGGTTGAGAACCACTGTCCTGGACCGATCAGTGACCCCTCGCACGCTCATTCCCCACAATCGATGCTCATAAATGGAGCATATGGCCCTCACACCATCCTTGGATGTGTTGTAAGAGTTATGATGGTCTGAATTTTCAGAGATCACGTGAGCCTGTTCCATCAGAGCATACAAAAGCTTAGCCTTAACACAAGACCTTTTGTTGTGTGAGATTACTCTGTACAATTCTGAACCAATGCATTTGGCCTCCTATCTTTAAAATCAGGACATTTATCCTGGGTAGATTGCGCCCGTTTGTAGGACACCCGATGGGTATTCTACAAATTTAAGCATTCGGTTAAAAGAGAAAAGGAATTTGTCCTGCTTTCAAAATTAAACTTCTCTCCAAGACCATGTCCGCTGTTGAAGAGCACAAGGCTGCGTCCATGCTACAAACTTAGAAAAACACAACATGCAGAACAGACAGGCAGGATACAGCTAGGCAGGATTTGTCCTCCTTTTTTAAAAAAAAGGAAGAGCCCTTCCAAAAACCATTTTGAGACTTCCGTGTTTCTTCAGTAACATATTTTCTCCACTGTCCCTACACACACACACACACACACACACACACACACACACACACACAACCTCCACCGGGATAAATTGCACAAAATCCAATTGTGTTACAAAACAAGAAAAGTTATATAGGGTTGTCCTACCTCTTCTTTGGGTGCTGAGATTTGTTTCTGTTTTTAAATATAAGATAAACACCGTCCTACTCAGTAGTCTGTATCTAAGTTTCCAAATCTTTCTTGGACTCCTGTCTTAGCTCCTTGTCTTTAGATATTCTTCCACTTTCCATGCATTGCATCCCGACAAGCCTTCCCTTCCAACAATCCCTTGGCTTGGCAATCCAGGTGGTTCAACCCCCTTACACAATTTGCTCTATTTTGGAGTTTTGTTGAGGATTACTTTTCCCACAAGGCCGCCGACTAAACATCAAACTTGTAGGTGGTACCTGCCAGGTTATCCACCTCTTAAGAAGCTGCATGTCCATCGTCCATATTCTTCTGCCACTGGCCCAGTTCACAAGACTGCTTGTTTACCCAATGGGACACCTTGTCACAGCCCATTCTGTGGCTGAGTTGCCACGGCCAATTCACCACAGCCAACTTGCTGCGGGACAACGTCACAATTCTATTTAATTATTTAAAATAAATAAAGCATTGTTTTAATTACGGCCGTTCACATTTCATTCTGTCCTTCCTTTTACTCTGCTCCTTTCTCCAATGATTCTATACCACCATTTCTTTGATATTAGTGTAATTCTTCTCCTGTGGTGAGTTAACCGTAACAAGTTAGCCATGATGAATTGGCCATGGTGAGTTGGCCATAATGAGTTGGTTATGGTGAGTTGGCTGTGATGCATTGGCCAAGGCAAGTTGGCCAGGACGAGTTGGCCATGGCGAGTTGGGCGTGATGATTTGGCCATGGTGAATTGGCCATGGCGAGTTGGCCATGACGCATTGGCCAAGGTGAGTTGGCCAAGGCGAGTTGACCATGGCGAGTTGGCCATGGCGAGTTGGCCATGACAACTCGGCCATGATGAGTTGACCATGGTAAGTTGGCCATGACAACTCGGCTATGATGAGTTGGCCATGGCAAGCTGGCCATGACAACTCGGCCATGATGAGTTGGCCAAGGCGAGTTGGCCATGGCAAATTGGCCATGAAGAGTTGGCCGTGACAAGTTGGCCATGCGTGAATTGTCCTAGACTCAGTTGTTCAATACATGGAAGCTCACTTGCTGATTTCTTCACAGAATTCATTCGGATGCACTGCACCTCTAACCCGGATTGGTGGATGCCTTCCGAAGAACAGATCAACAAGGTCTTCAGTGATGCAGTGGGACACGCTCGGCAAGGACGGGCAGTGGGGACATTCCTGCACAACGGGAATTCGTACTATGATGGGATTGATCAACATAGTTCCCATGACGACCTCTTCAGTAGAGGTATCCATGATGGCTCTGGAGACTGATGGCCGGAAGGAAGGTGATCCAGAAGGAGACGCAAGGGAAAGACAAGAGACTGAGTGTTCGGTATTCCATTTAAATGTGAATTAAGAATCCAAAGCATGTTGAGGATTGAGTTGTGTCCAAAGGAGTGTGTGTAAAAGTAGGATTCCCCAGCCAGATGTGCTGGCCTACAGCTCCCATCCTCTTCCAGAGAGTGTGGTTGTGCTGTCATTGGTCCCAGATTGTGAGAAGCTGGTTTTAACACTAGTCTTGCAAGCAAATAAGGAAGTACAGGTGATCTTTGGATTGCAACGGTACGTTTAGTTACAACGGCTTTGAAAAAAAGTGACCTACGACCGTCTTTCACACAACCATTGAAGCATGGGGATCAAAATCCGGACACTTGATCCGGGGTCACGTGATCCCCTTTTGTGACCGTCTGACAAGCAAAGTCAATGGGGGAAGAAGTCAGATTCGCTGTATGGCTGTGTTAACTAAGTTAACAACTGCAGCGATTCTGTGGCAGGAAAGGTCATAAAATTGGGGCAAATGACACACTTAGCATATGTTTGTGGTTCCGTTGTGGTCATAAGTCAAATCAAGTCACCTGTTTCTGAGCAGTAGCAATTTTTTTTTACCATATTTCCACCCCTGTTTTTAATTTCAGATGGAAGAATATTTTTTTTTTAAAAAAAAATTTCCTCCGGGTTTTGCGTTGTTGGTTCTACAAGTCTACAGGCGTCCCTTCGGCGGTGCTGCCTCTCACTCGCCCACTCGAATGTTGGAAAAAGTGGGATTTCTCATTGAAGACCCTCTCTCATCATCCAATCGCCCCTCTTTTTCTCCTTTTCCATTTGAGTGACGGGCATTTCTGAAACTGTAACATAGAAACACTTCCTGATTGACTAGAAATGTGCCAGATAGGTCTTGCTTGATGTACGGCCACTGTTAAGCCCAAAATATCTGTGGGTGCTTCATCATTTAAAAAAAAAGAGACTGGACAGCCATTTGTCTGAAATGGTCTAGGGCAGGGTGGGAACCTTGGCTCTTTTATGACTTGTGGACTTCAACTCCCAGAATTCCTGAGCCAGCATGGGGGAAATATGGCCCCTTCGTGACTGGTGGACTTCAACTCCCAGAATTCCTGAGCCAGCATGGGGGAACTATGGCCCCTTCGTGACTTGTGGACTTCAATTCCCAGGATTCCTGAGCCAGAATGGGGGAATTATGGCTCCTTTATGACTCATGGACTTCAACTCCCAGAATTCCTCAGCCAGCCATGCTGAGGGGAAAGAGAGAGGTTTCCAAGGTGAGCCACACTGGCTCAGGAATTCTGGGAGTTAAAGAGCCAAGGTTGCCCACCCCTGGTCTAGGTTCTCCTGCTTGAGCAGGGGGCTGGGCTAGAAGACCTCCAAGGTCCCTTCCAGCTCCTCTTCTGATTGACTCTGACTGAATTTTATCAAGATTTGGACTCAGCCACAGCAAACGGCTTGTGAACGTGTCCCCTCTGCAAGAGCCGCTCTCGATAAAACAACTAATAATAATAATAAAGTTGGAAGGGACCTTGGAGGTCATCTAGTCCAACCCCCTGCTCAGGCAGAAAACCCTATACCATTTTGGACAAATGGCTGTCCAATCTCTTGTTAAAAACTTCCAGTGTTGGAGCATTCACAGCTTCTGGAGGCAGGTGGTTCCACTGGTTAATTGTTCTCACGGTCAGGAAATTTCTTCTTAGTTCTAGGTTGCTTCTCTCCTTGATGAGTTTCCATCCATTGCTTCTTGTCCTGCCTTCAGGTGCTTTGGAAAATAGCTTGACTCCCTCTTCTTTGGGGCAGCCCCTGAGATACTGGAAGACTGCTATCATGTCCCCCCTCGTCCTTCTCTTCGTTAAACTAGACATACCCAATTCCAGCAGCCTTTCCTTATATACTTTAGCCTCCAGTCCCCTAATCATCTTTGTTGCTCTTCTCTGATAAAACTCACCACCAAAATTGAGCTGAATGTTCCCGTCGCTAAGTCAGATGTTTCTTAAGTGAGCGCCACCCCATTTTACGATCTTTCCAGCCACCGTTGTTAAGCGGATCCCTGCTATTGTTAAGCTGGTCACGCAGCTGTTCGGTGACTGGCTCCCCACCGCTGACTTCACTTGTCAGAAGGTCACAAAAGGAGATCACAGGACCCCTCCCCCGGTGACACAGCCACCGTCGTAAATGTGAGTCAGTGGCCAAGCGTTTGAATTTTGATCCCGTGACTGTGGGGGATGCTAAGTGCGAAAAAACTGGTGATAAAAGTCGCCTTTTTCAACACCGTGGTAACTTCAACCGGTCACTAAAACGAGCCGTTGTCAATCGAGGGCTACTTGTAATGAACAATTTCCCTATAAACGGAAAGGTATCCAAATTAGGAGCGCAGATCGATGGGGTGGGTTGGAGGGAAGTCTGCTTTGCGCGGAGAGTTTTGAGAGTTGCTTGCAGTCAACAATTTGCGTTGAGGTTTTTCTTCAGAAGACACTTAAATTATTCTCCAAATTCTGGCAAGGTCTGCGTTAGTAAATCTAAGCCACCTTGGGAGAAAGCCTGCAGCAGGAGCAGTCATGATTTTTGTCCCAAAGGTGTGTTTTTTTCAGAAGGCAACTGGACTTTCTTGTTTTTCCTTTGAAGACGTTTCGCTTCTCATCCCAGAAGCTTCCTCAGCTCTGACTGGATGGTGGGGAATGGGAGGATTTATACTCCTTGCAGACAGCTGGTCATTTGCATTCTTTTAGAGAGTCATTGAGGCAACTTGGAGATTGACTTCTTTTTAGAGATTCCTTGAGGCCATTTGAAAAGGCCTCTTCTTCCTCTTCCTCTTTCTTTCCCTCTCCTCTTTCTCTTTCTTTTTCTTTCTTTCTTTCTCTTTCTTTCTCTTTCTTTCTTTCTTTCTTTCTTTGTCTCTTTCTCTCCTATCCTTCTTTCCCTCCCATCTTCCTCCTCCTCTTCCTCTTCCATCCTTCTCCAAAAGATGCTTCTTCAGGAGACCACTGGACTTCCTTGCTTTTCTTTGAAGACGTTTCCCTTCTCATCCCAGAAGCTTCTTCAGCTCTGACTGGATGGTGGGGAATGGAAGGATTTATACTCCTTGCAGAGAGGTGGTTGTTTGCCTCCTTTGAGAGAGTCCTTGAGGCCACTTGGAGGTTCGTCTGTGTCCTCAGGGTCACCTGAGTGGTGCAAATGGCTGCAGGATGTTTTTTTCTGCCCTGGATCCCTTCACTGTGGAAGACGCGTGCAGGGTTTTGGGGATGAGTCTGTGTTGTCTGCATCTCAAAGTGAAAACGCAAATGGTTCCTGCGGTCTGCAATGTTTTCTGGAAATCCCTTCACGCTCCCCAGAAAACCTAGCCGACTGCAGGAACCGTCTGCGCTTCAGTTTGAGATGCCAATGTCTTCAAAGAAAAACTAGAAAGTCCCAGCTGCCTCTTGAAAAAGGGGGACAGCCATGACCTGGACGACTAAGCATCTCCACAGACAATCATGATTTTAATTTTAACCTCCCTTTGTCATTTTTTTTTCTTTTGCACAATCACTACTGCGTGCCCTTCTACTTGTAGCCCCGGGGGACAACTGATTTAGCAGGCAAAGAAAGCCATTGGCTCTGTCTCCTTGACCAAGAGCCAAGCGAAGGCCTATCAAGGGGATAGCCCAGTGGTGGCGAACCTACGGCACGCGTGCCAGAGGCGGCACTCGGAGCCCTCTTCAACTAGCCGCCTACTAACTCGCTGAGGTCCCACGTGGCCGGATGCATCCCAGCATGGCTGGTTTCCCTCCCCCCTGTCCCATCCCTCCTGGCCTCGCATGCTCTCCTTTTCCCGGGCACGACCCACTGCATCACCTCCTCAGCTGTTGGCCGTCTGTCTAGCTCAGAGGTGGCTTCTCTCAACTTCTAGTGGCGGGTTGTGGAGCCCCAGAGTGCGCTGGTCGAGGGGCTGGCAGGCTGTGGCTGCTGACAGACACTGTTGGCCCCCATGTGCTCGCTGGCCTCTGTGTGCGGGGGCCGATGGTGTCAGGCAGTAGCCAACCCAGCCTCAACTTGCCCTGCGACAATGGCACCCCTGCCCTGCCCTGCCTCGCCTCACCCCGCAGGGCGAGCCTCCTGCCCACTGCCCCACCTGCCAGAGACCCCCTGGATCTCCCCGAACCCTGACTTGCCCCCACAGGCATCCCTCCCCACGAGCAACATCGAGGTGACCACGCCCACCTTGGCCACACCCACCCCATCCACCATGACCACCACAGCCACGCCCACCTGGCACCCGGTGATAAATATGTGGGTTTTGGGTTGCAGTTTGGGCACTCGGTCTCTAAAAGGTTCGCCATCACTGGGATAGCCAATAGCTTTTAAAAAAAGGAATTTTGGTCACGTATTGCTGTTTTCTTGCCAGCTGATATTTAAAAAAAACTGGAGCTCCTCAACAAGGCAAGAACTGCCCTCTGGTATTAACCCACTCCATTTAAAGACCATCTTTGTAACTTAAAGCAGGAGTTCGCAACTTAGGATCTCTGGCCCGGTACCACCACATCCCGGGAATAGCTGGTGAGCCCCCCCCCCTTTGCTGTAGTACCACCGTGTGGTCACTAGTGGCCCCGTTTGCACATGCACGGGGACGCTAGCACCTCCGGCAGCGTCAGGCAGGTGCCAGAGGCCCGTTTGTGCGTGTGCCCGTTTGCACGCACATGTGCGGGCACATTTCTCTGCTGCTCCTTTTCCTTCCACACCACCAAGCTGGAATGTTTGGGGAACTCTGACTTAAAAAGGAAGGCAATTCTGAATATAACATTAGAAAGAAACATTAAACAAGGAGTCCCAAAGGTTTTTTTTTTCTTTTCCAAAAGGCAATTGGACTTTTGTTTTTTTCCTTGAGGACGTTTCACTTGCTCAGCCCGGAAGCTTCTCCGGTTCTGACTGAATGGTGGAGGATGAAAGAATCTTATACTCCTTTGCATCTTAATATAAGCTGAGGATTTGCCCCCACCTCTGCTCCTAAATCAAAATCTGCTAATAGTCAGCAGAACTTCAAAGCCACCAGAAAGCCCGTGTATAAAGAAGGGGAAAAAAATTGTCTGTTCTTCCCAAACTGCAGCAAGTCTGCTCTAGCTGTTTCGTGTTGTTGTGTGTGACAAATACCTCAAATGCCACATTCCTCTGTGTGGGGTGTGGACCTTAGTGGTGTACATTTTCCTGTGATGAAACTCGCCCATCTCTTTGGTGAAACGTGTCTGACAGAACGCGCAAGTCCGCATCGCTCCGCTCCTAGAATGTCACGTATGATGCATTTTGATATAACCTGTGTGCAATTCCAGTGTTGGTGTGTAGTGTAAGATACCTGCCGTTTGAATTCAGCACCTCCAGCTTCGTAGAAAAGACCTCACTGAAAGCAATTTGCTTCACCCAATGGTCCAAGCTCATTGAACGGGACGTTTTTCTTCCGATTCCTATCTTGGTTCCAATGATATGTGATAAAATTACAACGGGGATGTAGCATCGACAGAAAGGTGGCTGAGGAATGCTGGGAGTTGAAGTCCACAGCTCATCAAGTGGCCAGCATTAAATTATCTCTGGTCTGTGGGCTCTAGATTTAATGCCACCGTTATAAAGAAGAAGTTGCACGTCTCCAAGTCAAAGGGAAGGTCTATCAGCCTCTAGCAAACTGCTTCTTCCTTGAGGACCAGGAACATGGCTTGGAAGGAAACCACTTCCACCACACCACCCTGGTGGAATCCCTTGACTATCTGATTATGGGCCTGACTAAGGGTTGACCTTATTCCAGGTAAGGAATCTAGTATCATGTGTCTCCAGCTTAGCAACGTGTGTGTTTGGGGAGGAGAAATAATCATTTTTTCGTTTATGAAAATTGGAGATATGGTCCAGTATGGAACACGGATATTCTAATATTGCTAAGTATGACACCAGGGAGACTACGCTATAGTAGCTTTTACACCCTTCGTTTGGACCGATTTGAAGGCTGGTGCTCCCTGCATTGTAGACAGGTATTACGTTTGAGCAATAGCCCCGTATGTATTTATACTGCATATAAAATTGCTAAATGATGAAGAACTACTATAAGAAAAAAAAAAGACCATGGAATCTTATCAAATTAAAGAAAGCCTCTGAGATTCCAGAAAGTTGGATCCTTTTGGCTTTGTTGCAATGAAAACAAAATGCTTTTCACCATATACATTGTGTATATACGATATATGGTATACATTGTATATATACAATGAAAAATAAAAAATCTTAGCAGTTGCAGGACTTGGTCATGAAAGGCAATTGCTGTGACATCTCTCAACAATCTGCTTATTTCAGCTCTCCACCAATACAGCACTAGAGGTTGGTCTAATTGTTAATGCTTAAATATATTAATTGTTCTTTCGTAGTTTCTCCAAACATGTTTTGGGCCAAGTTGTGATACGGCTGGTTTATCTGGGTGTAAAGCCTCTGCTACACCAAGGTGTAAATTCTTCCCCCCCAATTTAAATTGCTTCCCAAAGCCACATGTTATAGGGGCATATGAAATCAAGGAAGGGGGAAGGGAAGGAAAGGGAAGGAAGGAAGGAAGGAAAGAAGGAAGGAAGGAAGGAAGGAAGGAAGGAAGGAAGGAAGGGCCTGGCTGAGGAATTCTGGGAGTTGAAGTCCACAAGTCATAAAAGGGCCAAGTTTGAAGACCCCTGTCCTAAAGCTAATACATTGCATGCAGTTCTCTAAAGCATAAAGGTCCATCAAGAAAGGTAATCCTCAACTTACACCAGTTCATTTAGCGACCATTCAAAGTTATGGCACCGAAGTGACTTGCAATTGTTGCAGCATCCCCAGGGGGTCACACTATTTTACATTTGGACACTCGGCAACTGCATTTATGACGGTTGCAGCATCCCGGGGCAGTTACGCGATCCCCTTTTACGACCTCCTTGACAAGCAAAGTCGGGGGGGGGGGAGTTGGATTCACTTAACCATGTTACTAAGCGTGGTGAGCAAAATCATAAAATGGGGCAAAACTCACTCCGCAAATTTCTCTCTTAGCAACGTAAAATTGGGGCCGAACTGTGGTCAAGCTGAGGACCACCTGTATAAATCCCAGAGGATTTGAAACCCAGAGAGAGAGAGTTTGAGGATCTGAGCGCATCTATGAGCAACTGCAGTGAAATCTGGTCTACGGTTTCAGTAGCCTATTTTAGAAAGAAGCCCACTGCCTTACTCCCTCCGATCACAAAAAACTTTTGTAGCTGTTTTTTTCCCCTCCCACACATTGTTATGACGCACACATCGATGCCAACACTTCGTTCCATTTTGTAGGGGGTATATATATATATATATATATATATATATATATATATATATATATATATATATATATACATACATACACATACATACATACATACATATATACCGTGACCTAGAATTTCATCCTTCCCGATTATTTTTTATTGTGACACGTGTTAAGTCGACTATACGAGCGATTTGTCTGGTGTTAAGGTAGTATCACAAAATGATGCCGTACAAAGTGAACGATGTAATATAGCCTAGTGATGTTTCGGTGAAAATGTCTATCGCACGTGTTGAATTGTTTTCTAAATGACATCAAGTCACCTCTTTCTTTCCAGGAAGTGAAACACGGAAAAGCGTTCAGCAATTTAAAAAAAAAAAAAAAAACAGTGCTATTTTTTTAATTATAAAGACATTTTTGTTACTAGAATTTACTACTTTGGGGTGGTGGTCATGGTGGGTTTTGATTAGTCTTATGCTTTCAATCCATTTGTTCTGTTGCATAACAATGCACAATAATAATAATAAAAATGTTTCGGCCGCATTGCCTGTCTGGAAAGTTTGCATATAAATTTGGTGTCAATAAGTCATTGCATGTTGCCGAACTGAACTCTTGATAAGCAAGGAGACACCTACGCTTTGAAAATACACAACGGGTTGCTTAGTGGGTGGCCTGGGAGAGGATGCTAACCACAAGCTGTTTGAAAAACTTCTGCTGATTCCAGAAGATTCCAAATGATCTGGGATAGAGTTTTGTACTTATCATTTTGTGAATGTCTCGGTGAATACCTAGATGGGGATTTTTTTTTTCTCCCCTTCCTGGACATATAACTCTTCCTAACATTCTCTCAAAATCAGCTTCACGTTCTGCAGAAAATCCACGGAGCATCGAGGTACAAGGCAGAAATGACTGGGATAACAGAATAATAGAGTTAGAAGGGATGTGGGTCTTCTAGTCCAGCCCCCTGCTCAATCAGAAAACCCTGTATCAGTGGTTCTCAACCTGTGGGTCGGGACCCCATTTGGGGTCGAACGACCATTTCACGGGGGTCGCCAAACAACGCAGTCTGCCATTTCCCCCCCCCTTTTTCTTAGCTGTGCTACTCCCTTTTATTCTATTGGCTTTTGAAAGCCAATAGAATAGACTCTCTTGAATAGAGTCTAATTCTATTGCCTTTCCAAAGCCAATAGGAATTGTCCAGGCTGTCTCTGCCCTGCTGAGCCCGCCAAAAGTCCCATTCTGCGAACGGTGCTGCACCAGTTGAGTAGTCCTCGACTTACGACCGGTTGAGTAGTCCTCGACTTACAACCAGTTGGGGGGGTCGCGGCATTAAAAAGGTTGAGAACCACTGCTCTCTACTATTCTGGATATAAATGGCTGTCCAGTTTCTTCTTAAACACTTCCAGTGTTGGGGCACCCACAACTTCTGGAGGCAAAGTCGTTCCACTGATCAATTGTTCTGACTGTTAGGGAAATTTCTCTTTCGTTTTAGCTCGCTTCTCTCCCTTGATTTAGCACCCTGAACACCTCCACGAGCCATCACACACATTAGAAAGTCTAGCGACAAAAATTGAGAGGGCGATGCTTAAGGGTTGTATGGGAACCCGCCTGCAATTTGAAATCTCCCCTGTGACAATTGAAAACAAGGAGACACTCCTTTCGTTCTAAATGTACAGAACATGGTTTATCAGCAGGCACTAATTACATTATGTACAGCTGTTTTCCTGAAAATTAAAAAAACAAAAACAAAATACATAGCATCATTTACATCCAATCGTGCCCAGAAAGGTCAAAATGCTACTAACGCGGGAACGGATTGCTTTCTCGTTCCCCTCCTAAACCAATCTGACGCATTTTGGTCTCCACACATAATTTGTGTCACAGTTTGTTTGGTTTTTTTTTTAAACAGGGTTCAAAATTCACGTTCACCCGGCCAAATGCACTTTGCATCCCCCCTCCAAAAAAATTTAAAAGGGGGAAAAAAAATATAAGTCTTTGCTTCAGAGACTAAAGACTTCTTTCGGAAGAGGTTGATAAAAGTGCACAGATTTCAGCTCCTTTTGCAAACTTGCCGTCGGTGCGTTGATGACACGGGACCGCCCCAGTTTGTGCACCACAGCCCTCCGGTTGCGCTTGCCTTGTACGAGTAAGTTTCAGAGCTCCAACGTGGCACACCCATCAGCCACCTCGCCATGATAAGGGGGCTGGATCATACACTGAATCGAGTATTGCGCAAGTAACGTGGATGCGCGTATAAACCAGCATCGTTATCCGCTGAGCTCCAGGGAACGCCTTTTCTGATTTCTATTTATAGAGGGGGAAAAGCTCTTTAAAGCCAATTAACTCTGGGTCTGCCCAGTTCAAGCATTGGCAGTTGGATTCTCAGTGCCTTCCAAGCTGCTCAGCATACTACATTTAATGGCCTGGCATTCTCTTTTTCTTCAGAAGCCCAAACAGCTCCTGCGTTCAGCACAGCATCCTGATATTCCCCAGAAATTTCAAAGGCTCCATCTGTCATTTGCAAACTCCACCAATTCTAAACACATTCAACGTTGGACAGGAGATCCTTCAGATGCCGTTTGATGCCACCTTAGTACGGTTTTAATTAAAAATCATCAACAACACATCAAATGTATTTTAAGTTATCGGGCATTACTTTCAAGATGCTACTCAATGTTTAGGAGAGCCGGTCCAAAGTCATCCTGAACTAGCACTTGTGACATGTTTTTCCAACAAAACTAACCTCCTTCGACTTTCCAGATGCGCTACCTTACAATTCCCACACTGTCTGGGAACTCTTTGAAATTCACCAGGCTTGGAGGGCACCAAGATTGGGAGAAGGACAAGTTTGAACATCTCGAAAGTTCTTTCCGATGTTCCTTCTGGCTTCTCCCCCACAAATAATATCCGACGGGACACAAAGGGAAATACAACGGAGATTTAGACCCAGCCAAGCAGTGTAACTCATGGTTTTTCCTATTTCGCCTTTTGATCTCGCAAAGTCAACAGCTGGAAGATGATCACGCAGATTAAAAACTTTAGCCCACCCATTAAATTATCTCAAGTGCCGGTCCGGCACAATTCCAATATCTGCAGCTTTTCTGCACATGGTTAAGGGGAATCTCCCAAAAATCTGTCCAGATTATCTGGGTCGAAGCTACAGTTTGCTAGGAGCAGCTATAAGATCGTAACACCGAGACAGAGGTTGGACGTGATCATCTCAAACCATCTGAAGGAGGCTAGAATGGACACCAAATTCAGACAATGGGGGAAAAAAAAAAGAGAAAGATAAAAGATTACAGAACTAGAATTCCTCAATTGGACTCTAAGAGAAATGCAGTCATCAAATGGGGGGGATGATTTTGCAAAACCAAATTTAAAAAATACTTGAAACAGGGCAGTAAAACATATAGGATGCATTTGCCCCCCCCAAAACGGACATGGTAAATAATTTATTTAAAGTGTCTAGTTGCAAATGTTCTACGGATCCGTGCGAAAAGAGGCAGCAAGCAGGCTCTCTACGTAGCCAGTTCAAGGAAAAGCTGTCGCTGATCTGGATAGAAAACCGATCGGCAGGAGAACCAGGGGACTTAAAAAGGTGTGATGTTTTGAGATTGCCGGAGTTCCAGAGGGTGCCCGTCCTCAAAGAAGCCGATCCAAGAGAGAGGGGGGGGAGACCTGATTCCGCGAAGATTACAGTATTTCCAGGTCCACATGCCGTACTTCAGGATTCAGTTTCTGAAATGGAATTAATGACGTTTACTTGGCTGAAAAAATAAGATGGCACATTATCAACACTGAAGTTTGCAACTGGGCCTGGGGCTGGAGCTCCACATCCATTTGCACCACTCAGGTGACCTTCAGGACACAGGCAAAGCTCCAAGTGGCCTCAACAGCTCTCTAAAGCAGTGGTTCTCAACCTTTTTAATGCCGCGACCCCCCAACTGGTCGTAAGTTGAGGACTACTCAACCGGTCGTAAGTCGAGGACTACTCAACTGGTGCAGCACCGTTTGCAGAATGGGACTTTTGGCGGGCTCAGCAGGGCAGAGACAGCCTGGACAATTCCTATTGGCTTTTGAAAGCCAATAGAATTAGACTCCTATTCAAGAGAGTCTATTCTATTGGCTTTCAAAAGCCAATAGAATAAAAGGGAGTAGCACAGCTAAGGAAAAGGGGGAAAAAAATGGCGGACTGCGTTGTTTGGCGACCCCCGTGAAATGGTCGTTCGACCCCAAATGGAGTCCCGACCCACAGGTGGAGAACCACTGCTCTAAAAGAAGGCAAAGGACCAGCTGTCTGCAAGGAGTATAAATCCTTCCCTTCCCCATCATCCAGTCAGAGCTGAAGAAGCTTCTGGGATGAGAAGCGAAACGTCTTCAAAAGAAACACAAGGAAGTCCAGTTGCCAGCCGGAAAAAAAAAACACCTTTGGGGATGTTTATCCTGAAATATCCTTGCTGTCCTGTGGGAGCCTCCCCCAGAGATTTTCCCGGTCTAGCGTGACTAGCAAGCTCACCTTTATTCCCACGTACATTTGTTTGGCCGGCCGGCCGCTACTCACCTTCAGATCTTTTTCAAGTCGATCCACTTCTGCTCCTAAAGTGTCAATGATGTTTTCTCCATGTTTAAGCATAAAAGCCTCTAAATCTTCCAGAGTTTTCACCTGCTGGATCTCCTACCGTCGGATAAAATAAAATAATAAATAAAATAAAATAAAATAAAATAAAATAATAAAATAAAATATAATAAAATAAAATAAATAAAATAATAAATAAAATAAAATAAAATATAAAAAATATAAAATAAAATATAAAATAAATAAAAATAATAAAATAAATAATAATAAAATAAAATAATAAAATATAATAAAATAACAAAATAAAAAAATAACAAAATAAAATAAAATAATAAAATAATAAATAAAATAAATATAAAATAAATAATAAAATAAATAATAAAATAAATAAAATAAAATAATAAAATAAAATAAAATATAAAATAAAATAATAAATAAAAAATGGAAAAAGTTAGAAAAGAAGAAAAAGGACGAATTGTTGACTAGCGAGGACCGTTTTTTTAATTTTTATTTTTTCGCTCTTTGAAGTTACTTTCCAGGATTTCTCACAACCCTGGGCTTACTGAATTGACATTGAAAAATGGATATGAGCTATGCAAGTCTATGGGGATCAATGCAATTCAGAGATTTAATCTGCAAAATTAATATTTAGAACATCAGGTTTCCCCCCCCCCTGCTTTTTTTTCCCAGGGAAGTGCAAAAATCACTGCACACCCCCCCCCCCAATGAGAGAAACCCTGTCCAAAGCAATGCGTTGACTTAACGTACTTGTAGTAGTTGCTCGATGTCCTGTTTTTCCAGGTAGGACCGAGTGACTACCCGTCCATCAAAGTCCACTTCTGCTTTGAATCTGACTTTATTCATCCCCATATCTGTAGCTTTGACATCATGGATTGCTCTATGGTGATGAACAGGGCAGTGGTGAGACGAAGCGAAAAACAGACAACCGGCCATTAGGAGTTTTTAGTCCAAAATTAGAAAACATGGCAGCAGGAGATTTCTCCGTTCTCCCTCTTAAGATTTCCCTTTGGTGGGGGTCCTGGGTGCTCCCTGAGCTGGGTGGTTTCCTTGCAGACGTTTCGTGACCCAACTAGGTAATGTCATCAGTGCTAGAAGGGAGGGGGGTTTGCTAAACAAAAAGGAAAGAAAAAAGGCCAAAACACCTCCTCACCGACAATCAACACCCAGCTGAGCTTAACAACAAGATTAATACGAGACCAACAATCAAGAAGTGAGCAATGCCCCAGTCAAGGAACTACCAACTCCAATAATCAAACCAACAATAAACAATAGCCCGATCAAGAAACCATCCAGACTGCTCCCATAAACACTGGAAGGACAAGAAGCCACCTTTACATAAACGAACAGCAAAAACCCTCCCTTCTAACACTGATGATGTTACCTAGTTGGGTCATGAAATGTCTCCAAGAAAACCACCAAGCTCAGAGAGCACCAAGGACCCCACAGTAGTCCTCCTCCTCCCTTCTAGCACTGATGATGTTACCTAGTTGGGTCATGAAATGTCTCCAAGAAAACCACCAAGCTCAGAGAGCACCAAGGACCCCACAGTAGTCCTCCTCCTCCCTTCTAGCACTGATGATGTTACCTAGTTGGGTCATGAAATGTCTGCAAGAAAACCACCAAGCTCAGAGAGCACCAAGGACCCCACAGTAGTCCTCCTCCTCCTCCTCCTGCCTTCTAGCACTGATGATGTTACCTAGCTGGGTCACGAAATGTCTGCAACAAAACCACCCAACTCAGAGAGCACCAAGGACCCCACAGTCCTCCTCCTCCAACCCCTCTCCCTTCTAGCACTGATGGTGTTACCTAGTTGGGTCAAGTAAACAACCAAGATCCGGAAGCACCACGGAGAGGAGAGGCTCCATAGCTCCACCCTGAGCGACAAAGATTCTCTTGCAAATTTCCCTTCCACGCTTTCCACCTTCTGCTCCGACTCTCCTCTGGTCTACTGCAACCCTCCCACCCGTTGGGCCACGTGGATGGATCTCTCTCTTACCGCACGGCTGGATCACACTCCAGGAGTTCGGTCAGTTTCTGAAGCCGGTCGGGCTGGATGGATCTGCCCAAGAGGGCCTCTGTGTTCGTGTAGATGAGGAACGCCGACACAACGCCCAACAAAGTCCCCACGCCCAGAGAGCCCAAGCTGTCGTAGTAGGGGTTACCTACAAGTAAACAAGTCACCCCACGAACATCACAAGGGCAAATTCTTCACTTCCTCTTTTCGTATTCTGCTAGCCCAGCGGTTCTCAACCTGTGGGTCGGGACCCCATTTGGGGGTCGAACGACCGTTTCTCGGGGGTCGCCAAACAACGCAGTCCGCCATTTTTTCCCCCCTTTTCCTTAGCTGTGCTCCTCCCTTTCATTCTATTGGCTTTTGAAAGCCAATAGAATAGACTCTCTTGAGAGAGCAAAATGGACATCGCCAACCCAGAGAGTAAAATGGACATCGCCAACAAATTCCCAGTGCTTGGGTATGGTTAGGAGGGCACTGACTTTTCTAGGCTGCCCTATCTATGTTTCCTGGTAAAATACATGCGAAAATCCCATTGGAGGAAAATTCCACTTAGGGTTAGGGTTAGGTCACCATGAACCTGTAGAGCAAAATGGACATCGCCAACAAACTCAGGGTGCTTGGGTATGGTTAGGAGGGCACTGACTTTTCTAGGCTGCCCTATCTATGTTTCCTGGTAAAATATATGGGAAAATCCCATACATGGAGGAAAATTCCACTTAGGGTTAGGTCACCATGAACTCATAGAGCAAAATGGACATCGCAGACAAACCGGAGTGCTTGGGTATGGTTAGGAGGGCACTGACTTTTCTAGGCTGCCCTATCTATGTTTCCTGGTCAAATACATGGGAAAATCCCATTGGAGGAAAATTCCACTTAGGGTTAGGTCACCATGAACTCATAGAGCAAAATGGACATCGCAGACAAACCGGAGTGCTTGGGTATGGTTAGGAGGGCACTGACTTTTCTAGGCTGCCCTATCTATCTTTCCTGGTCAAATACATGGGAAGATCCCATTGGAGGAAAATTCCACCTAGTTCCTTAGAGTATACTTTGTTGTTCTATCTCACACTTTTCCCAAAAGGTTTCTACAATTTTGGCCACTACTGTATTAACAATATTAAAAAAAAATCCAGTCTGGGCTCACCTGTTAGGGAAGTCAGCCCCATGCAGGTAGCAGCCAGCGTCACACCCAGAACTGCAGCTGTGTCTTCTAACAACACAACGTTTGTGCTGGGATCACAAGCCTGGATAACTGAAGGTGGAAAAGAAATTAGAGCAATTAACAGAAAATAAGAACGTTATACTGTATTATTAATCAGTTGATGTAAGGTGGTGAGAAATAGAATATATTCAAATAGATAAGACGTGTATCCTGAACATTAGATTTTGCGATGGATTGTGATAAAGGGAACTGGGGTTATTTAAAACTTGGAAATTATAAATACTAAATGTTAAATTATATATTAATGGGAAACTAAAACTTGGGAAAAACTAATTAGGACACTGATTGTCTATAAAGATTGAATGTTGAAATAACCAGGATATGTAGAACCTAAACACTATTGATAAATATAAGAAATGTTTATTTAATCGATATAATAAGAATTGTTATTAGTTTAAATATGAGACAGTAAATACTAAGGGGAAAAGAGAGGAAATACTTAATGTGGTAGTTTGAGATTTGTACTAAAGATACTTGTATGCTATTGAATCGTCGATTAGCTCAACCGCCACGCTGCTTTTTAAATATTTAAATGTAAAATTAGAAAATCAATAAAATTTTCTTTAAAAAAAAGGAAAGAAATTAGAGCACCGATCCAGTTTCAGAGAGGCAGTATAAAAATCAATTGATTCTCCTAAACGCCAACGCCAAGTTTATTCATGCCGGATTTTAACTGTCATAATAAAATAATAATAATAATAATAATAATGATGATGATAATTGTTTCCTTCTCTGCGATACAATTTCAAGAAACAGTAGAGATAGAAAAAAGTATGGATATTACAAATTCCTGCCATATAATAATAATAATAATGTTGGAAGGGACCTTGGAGGTCATCTAGTCCAACCCCCAGCTCAGGCAGGAAACCCTATATATGAAAACCGACTTACCGTAGTGTTGGAAGGAGAGTCCTTTTGCTCGGGCGCTCCTTCGGATTTCGTTGATAGCTACCAGAAGAGTAGCTGCAACGACATCAACACAACGATTTCATTCAAGGGGACGGCAGGAAAAACATCGCAAACTCCCACCTGCACAGATATGGTGTGTATGCGTGTGTGTGTGTGTCTATGTTTTGTTTTGCTTTTTTTTCATTAACAAGAATCCAGAAAAGTGACCACTTAAAATGGGAACGGAACCCCGAAACCGTTAAATACAGGGTTAGTCCTCAATTTGCCAGAGTTTTATTTAGTGACCGTTCGAAGTTACAACGGCATCGGAAAAATGGAGTGTTGGCTATTCCTGCCAGCTTGGTGCCGCCTGCAAATTTGATGACTTCCCCAACATCAAGGAAGTCCTTTTCTTACTGGCCAACGGATAATCAACCAGGATACAAACTGGGTCTTAAACCAGAGATTTACGTCTTTCGAACCGTGCTGGCTTTGGGTTGTTTTGTGCATGGTATTGATATGGCACCTGTTGTGTGTGGTTTTTTTGTGTTGTTGACTGAGCTCTTGATGACTGACTATTAAGTCGATAATCTGGTGGAGAAACTGACTTGCCAACAAGTCAGCTTTCTTGAATCAGATCAACGTAGGAGATCGCTGGAATAAATTCTCATATAACCTTTTTAATATTTCTGGTCAGTGTTTTTTTTTTTATTATTATTATTCACTGACATTAACCAACAGTATTCTGACAGGTCAGAATGCTGGTATCTGTAGGGGCTTAAGCCGTGTTCAATTCGTCTAGAAAACAAGTGCACACTTTGTAAGGTTTGATGTTCCCTCCCCCCGCCCCTGCCAGGTCACCTACCTCCTTCTGACACCAAAGATCCTGCTAAAATACAGTAAGCCTAAAAGTAACAGACAGGAGAAAGAAAAACGGGAGTTAATTGTATTAGTATAATATTAAGCTGGATACTTCATACCATTAACGATCTGAACCTTGAGGCTGGATTAAATCTGCATATTTTTTGCATTCCGGTCAGCGACCTTCAGATCTCTAAAGAGGAACTCTGCTCCCCCTCTTAAAACAACAATTATTTCCCCAAATATTGTAATAGAGCACCAAGGGTTTTCTCGTTCTGTAGTTGCTTGATTGAGGCTGCGAATGAATGAATGAATATGTGTGTTTATCGGTCTGTCTGTCTATCTGTCTATTTATCTAGTTTGTCTATCTAATCTATCTACTTATCTATCATTTATATCTATCTGTCTTATCTATCTAACCTACCTAATTTATCTATCTACTTATCTATCATTGATATCTATCTTATCTATTTTATCAGTCTGTCTATCTACTTATCTATCTCCCTCTATCTTTCTATCCATCCATCCATCCATCCATCTGTATCTATCTATCTATCTATCTATCTATCTATCTATCTATCTATCTATCATCCATCTATCTCTATCTATCTATCTCTATCTATCTATCTATCTATCTATCTATCTATCTATCTATCATCCATTTATTCATCATATCTATCTATCTATCTATCTATCTATCTATCTATCTATCTATCTATCTATCTATCTATCTATCATCCATCCATTTATCAATCATCTATATCTATCTATCTATCTATCTATCTATCTATCTATCTATCTATCTATCTATCATCATCCATCCATCCATCTTGTCTGTCTACCTACCTATCTATCTACACCCCCCCCCCAAAATTAATGTCTATATCTATAGAGGTAGCCCTCAATTTACCATCGTTGAGCCCAGAATTTATGTTGCTAAGTGAGACATTTGTTAAGTGAGCTTTGCCCCATTTTACGACTCTTCTTGCCACGTTTGTTAAGCGAATCACGGCACTCGTTAAATTAGTAAAACGGTTGTTAAGTGAATCTGGCTTCCCCATGGACTTTTGCTTGTTAGAAGGTTGCAAAAGGAAATCACCTGAACCCCCGACACCCTCGGGACCCTGCGGCCGTCATAAAGATGAACCGTCAACCATCCAAATGTAAAACATGTGACTGGGGGGGGAGGAATGTCGAGGACTACCTGTATTATGTCTCTGTGTGTGTGTGTGTGTGTGTGTGTGTGTGTGTGTGAGAGAGAGAGAGAGAGAGAGAGAGAGAGAGAGAGAGAAAATGATGTATAAACTGTTGAACATTCATCCACAAAGAAATAAAGGCAGTCCTCAACTTACAATTCATTTAGTGACCGTTCCAAGTTACAACAGCACTGAATGAATGAATGAATGAATGAATGAAAGAAAGAGGAAGGGAGAGAGAAAGCAAGAAAGAGGGAGGGAGGGAAAGGGGGAGGGAGGGAGGAAGAGAGGGAGATAGAAAGAGAAAGAGAAAGAGAAAGAGAAAAAGAGAAAAGAAAAAGGATGGAAGGAAGGAAGGAAGGAAGGAAGGAAGGAAGGAAGGAAGGAAGGAAGGAAGAAAGAAAGAAAGAAAGAAAGAAAGAAAGAAAGAAAGAAAGAAAGAAAGAAAGAAAGAAAGAAAGAAAGAAAGAAAGAAAGCAAGCAAGCAAGCAAGCAAGCAAGCAACCTGGCTAAAACAACGTTTCGACGCGACGTACCCAGAGAAGGGATTCTATCGGCTGAGGGTTGAGTAGCCCGATAACCCCATGATACCACGAGAGGCCAGCCCCCATCATGAAGATGCCAACGCCACTGATCAGAGATGCGATGTAGCGCATGTTTGTGAAGCCATACCTGGAAGGAAGGAGAAGGGGGGGGGGCGGAACAGCGCTGTGACTCGGGAAGGAAAAATGGAAATGTCGGAGAGCAGAAGGTAGCATAATTGGTCCAGAAGCTGTGAATGCTCCAATACTGGAAGTTTTTAAGAAGAGACTGGACAGCCATTTTCCTGAGCAGGGGGTTGGACTAGATGACCTCCAGGGTACCTCCCAACTTTATTATTATATTATTATTATAACTGCCATCACATTTGGAAATCCATTGGGAGTGAACAAGGGATAGACCTTAGAAATGCAATTTATTGGGAAATGCAATTTATTCCTAGCAATAGCATTTACAGCCCTTTTTAAGCGGTTTACGGATTTTCCCCCAGATAGATAGATAAAGATAGTTGATAGATAGATGATAGTTAGCAATGACACTCAGACTTATATACCGCTTCATGGTGATTTACAGCCTTCTCTAAGCAGGAATTCTGGGAGTTGAAGTCCACGAGTCCTAAAAGAGCCAAGGTTGCCTACCCCTGGTCTAGGTGGCTTAAAGCTGTCAAGATTGAGAAATTCAATCTTAAAAGCACCAAGAATTGTCAACTTTACTTTCCCAAACTGCTAGTTATTTCATTGAATCTGGACTTTGGCAAAATCTCCGAAACGGAAGACCCAGTTGGGCAAATTTTTCAAGGATACGGTCTATCCAACAAAACAATTTCAGAACAAGAGCGGGGTGTGCGTGTGGGGGGGGTGGGAAAACAAAAGGTTCAGAATCCTTACGGATGGCTTTGATCGGGTATCCTCACAGACTGACTGATCCCCAACGCGAGCAGGGCCTGTATGTGAAAAGAAATGTGGGGCAGAGACCGTCACATTTTATACTTAGCGTCTTGAATTTCAGTTTGCTGCAACCCCCCCCTGCAAAACAAAAAAGGGTCAATGCGTCGTTTAATTTTAGAAAAGTTTCACTGAAGTGAAGCAACTGCATTAAAGTCTCATCCATTTTGACAGTCATGCAAAATTGAAAAAAAAAATGAAAAGGGGTCAGAATCTCTTCCCCTCCAAAAAAACCCCCATCAAATTATCATAAGATTTGGGATATTAAGTTAGCCGCAATATCACAAGACTCTGATCTCCTAAAATTACACACTTCCTGTCACTCCCCCCCCCCGTTTCATCAGCCCATCACACCACTCCCCCCCCCCCTTGAAACTCAGAGGCAAATCTCAAGACAGGATATCTGTCTTGGTCACCATGTCACAAAAAAGATGTTGAGAGTTTGGAAAAAAAATTCAGAGAAGAGCAACTAAGATGATCAAAGGCCTGGAGACTAAAACACACAAAGAATGGCTGCGGGACTTGGGTCCGGCTAGTCTAAAGAAAGGAAGGACTAGGGGGGATATGATGGCAGTCTTCCAGTACTGAAAGGGCTGCCACAAAGAAGAGGGGGTCATGTTATTCTCCAAAGCACTAGAGGGAAGGAGGAGAAATAATGGATGGAAATTCATTAAGGAGAGAAGCAACCTGGAATTAAGGAGAAACTTCGTAACAGCGAGGACAATCAACCAGTGGAACAGCTTGCCACCCGAAATCGTGGGCGCTCCATCACTGGAGGTATTTAAGAAGAGACTGGACAGTCACTTGTCTGAGATGGTATAGGTTCTCCTGCTTGAGCAGGAGGCTGCACTAGACTGGACTGGACCAGACTAGAATAATGGACTGGACTAGAATAGAATACTGTATTTTCCGGCGTATAAGACGACTTTCTAGGCATGGAACTCGGCGCCGAAGTCGGGGGTCGTCTTATATGCCCAGTCGTCTTATACGCCGGAAAATACGGTAGAATAATGAATAGAATATAATAGGTAGTATAGTATAATATAGTATAGCATAGTATAGTATAGTATAGTACAGAACATGAAATGGAACGGAAGAATAGAATAGAATAGAATAGAATAGAATAGAATAGAATAGAATAGAATAGAATAGAATAGAGAAACAAATAATAGAATAGAGTGGAGTAGAGTAGCATAGAATAGAGAAATGAATAGAATAATAGAATAGAATAGAGAAATGAATAGAAGAATAGAATAGAATAGAATAGAATAGAGAAATGAATAATATAGAGTAGAGTAGAATAGAGTAGAGTAGAGTAATGAATAGAATAATAGAATAGAATAATGAATAGAATAGAATAGGGAATAGAATAGGGAATAGAATAGAATAGAATAGAATAGAATAGAATAGAATAGAATAGAATAGAATAGAATAGAATAGAATAATGGAATGAAGAACAGAACAGAATAATAGAATAGAATAGAATCTGGAAGGGACCTTGGAGGTCTTCTAGTCCAGCCCCCTGCTCAAGCAGGAGACCCTGTACCATTTCAGATAGGTGGCTGTCCAGTGTCTTCCTAAAAACCTCCAGCGATGGGAGCACCCACAACTTCTGGTGGCAAGCTGTTGCACTGATTGTCCTCACGGTTAGGAAGTTTCTCCTTCGTTCCAGGTTGCTTCTCTCCTTTATGAATTTCCATCCATTGTTTCTTATCTTGCCCTCTGCTGCTTCGTATAACGTTGAACCCCCCCCCACCTCCTTAATCTTTGCAAACAATCCCTGCATGTTCATTGATGTACAACTTTGCCTCACAGATTTGAGCTCAGCTGGCCTTAAAGCGAAACATCTAGAAACCCTGATCCCGATGGTGATAATGGTCCCCAGTGGGGTGGATGAAACATGTGCAAGGGAAAAAAAAAAAACCCCACCAAGGTCGGACTCCCCTGTAGATATTCTATTCTGTTGAAAAGTCCAAAGAACCCGCTTGCTGCGTTGCATCCGCTCCCCGAGAAAACACAAAACAGTGTCCTGCCAACTCACCTGGTTGCAAGTGTCTGCTAAGGAATGTATGGCTTCGGAGAACATGCTTGCAGAGCCCGTGTAAACCCACGCGAGCAGCTTGAAGAAAAAATTCAAGCCGTTTCTGTGGAAGGAGGAGAAAACGCGCTTGTCACAACTTTTTCTTTTTGTTGTTATTTTTTCGAGACTCCCCCAAGCTCCCATGCACACTGCCAGCCTTTGCTTTTGGATTGACTGATGAGGAATGAGATCGGCGTGCTGTGTGAACTCTCAAAAGGTTGACTGGACCCAGGGCATCCATGAAAGCCTCTAAAGGCGTAGAAATTCAAAATATACTGCAGCTTCCAAAGTCCCAGGACAGTACAAATAAATCCCTTTCGATTTTCTGTTGCTTAGCCAAGTTTGGCACTGGGTCTGCGCCAGCCTTCAACAGATCTCCAGTAGATCGGTTGCAAAAAAAAAAGGAAAGTAAGAAATCTGGGCAGCACCGTGACTGTATTATGTGAGAGAAAGAGCACCGGTGCACCTGAGGAATACCGCAGTGGGCAAAATTGTGGAAACCTTTTGGGAAAAGTGTACAGTAGAAATGCCACCGTTGGCTAAGTTTCCACCCATTTTTCCTTCTCATTTCTTTATAACTGTAGCCTTGTTCACTTAATAAATACTATTTTACGTCGCTTTCTGGGCGACCGGTCAACTCTTTGCACCATGACTTTAATTTTATTGCGTTTTACAAGCTCACTCAATGAAAGAACACAAGAAAAAACCAACCGACTTGATAGCGATCACAATAACACACTGACAAATGCCCTCCTCTCGGCTTCAATACGTGACATCGATCACCGGATCCTACTGTGATCTGATTGGCTCGCTGCCGAAACAAGATGACACCCAACTGGCTCTCTAAACACTCGTGCTCATTGGCTACAATCAGGTGAAGGGAAGCTACCTGAGATCAACCTAAGCCAGTTGTGCTTCCTTTTTCTGGTTATTTGGCTATCACTTTTCATAGATATAGTACAGATCACTGAACAAACTGTGTTGCATGACGTTCTTGATTAAATTATCTTTCCATTGATGTATAATTTCATGGTACTACTCCCAAAGAGGGGTGTTATTAGCCATCAAACCTCAAAAATACACTTTTCCCAAAAGGTTTCCACAATTTTGGCCACTACTGTATACTAGCCAACATTTGTTCGTGCTTTCCAGAACCCTGGTTTTCAGAAACTGGGAAGCATCCAACTGCACAGGACCTTTCTTGAGATAGTCAGCATGTGAGGACTAAATCCTAAAAGCACCATTTTTCCTAAATAATTCCATGGAAGCCATGCAATCATTTGCAGAAAAATACTTTAATTAGTCCGAACGGAGCTGGAAGGCACCTTGGGGGGGGGGGGTCATCTAGTGCAGGAGACCCTTCTACTATTTCAAAACAGGTGGCTAGTCCTCAACTCTTTTTTGGTGCTTCCTGGTCCCTTTTAATGGCATAAAAATGGCCGTAGGCTTTTACCTTTAAGCTTTCCTTCTAAACTAAAACTCTGACTTCCGAGGCAGCAGTACGCAACACATCACCACACAACACAATAAAACAGGATTAAGCTTTTCAGCGTCTATGTTTAAGAGGCATACACCTAAAGGAAAAAGAAAACTTACATGCAAATAGCAACCATCACCACTTTTCCTGGTCCGCTCAGAAAAACAGCTGTGGCACGGGAGCGCGGCTGAATTAAAGACACAAGCATGTAGTTTAAGACAAACTACACGCGTCTCTGCATGTATTTCACAAACAACGCAATGTTATACAAACATGGTTTCGGATGTGGCCTGTTTTAAGCAAGAGAGCGCACAAACGAGCATCCGTTGATTAGCGATTAGAATAAAAGAAATCAATCAGATCTACGCCTGAATACGATGGCTCTGGAGGAAAAAAGCAAGTTATTCTCTCTTACAAGGAATAGGTCTTCTAAGAGGGATCCCACCAACTCAACTGAGCAAAGACATAGAATCTGGGACTCTCCCTGTCCACCAAGCATGAAAGTTCGTGTCCAAACATCTCAAACATTCTCCATGCCTTTACTACCACCAGGTGGCTTAATGAATCAGTCAAGACACGAGCTGGCTAACAGGTGTTAGTAACCATGATTTATAACGGGCGAGTCCCAACTATTTACAAGATTGCAAGGAAACGCTGCCAGATCTTTGTGCCGCATACAAGCTTGTCACTCCGTGCAAAACAAATGGAGAGGATGTCTAGCAAATAGAGAATTGTCCCTCGTGAATAAGGTTACTTTGACTGAAAGAGGATGGGAGCTGTGTTCAAGAGAAGCCCAGAAGACTGCAAAATACACATTCAATAAAAAAAAGAGAATGGAACGTGATATGTAATTTTGAATATAGATTAGTAAGAAGGCTATTGGGCGATTAACATATTGTTTATGATAATTAACTATATCTATTATTGTTAGTTAAATACATGTACCCAGACACTATGCTGTTTGCTCAATATTGAAAATGTTACTTGAAAAAACCCTAACCCAAATCCCAATTCTAATCCTGACCCCACCCTATCCCTAACCCTATAAAAACTAATAAAATCTAGGGAAATGAAAATTAACGATTAGGAATTAGCTTCAAACTATTGTTTAGCCCAACTAAACGATGGACGATGGACTTGAGATAATAAAGGACACTCTCTCAGCAAGTGATGATGTATTAGGATGAAGAATAGAAAATGTTTATGAAATAAGATAAGAATATATTTAAGTAAGTAATACGTATATTCTAGAGATGACAACTTTTAGGTAGTGAAATAAAGGAAATTTGGATTACCCGAAACTCAAAACATTATGGATATTAAAAGGTTAAATTGGAATATTGTAATAAAAAACTGAAAATTAGGTACAAAACTTAAAAACAGGATATGGATAAGCCAAAAATAAGATGGATCAAGGTTTTAATTAACTTTGCTAGAATTAAAAACCCATTAGCCTAAATATGAGGTAACAAATGTTAAGGCAGTGGTTTTCAACCTGTGGGTCGGGACCCCATTTGGGGTCGAACGACCATTTCACGGGAGTCGCCAAACAACGCAGTCCACCATTTTTTTCCCCTTGTCCTTAGCTGTGCTCCTCCCTTTTATTCTATTGGCTTTTGAAAGCCAATAGAATAGACTCTCTTGAATAGAGTCTAATTCTATTGACTTTCCAAAGCCAATAGAAATTGTCCAGGCTGTCTCTGCCCTGCTGAGCCCGCCAAAAGTCCCATTCTGCAAACGGTGCTGCACCAGTTGAGTAGTCCTCAACTTACGACCGGTTGAGTAGTCCTCGACTTATGACCGGGTGGGGAGTCGCGGCATTAAAAAGGTTGAGAACCACTGCATTGGCCTAAATGTGAGGTAACAAATGTTAAGGGAATTTCTGATGACGTCACCTGAAATGTGTCCTAAAGATTTTGTTGTTATTGAACCACTGACTACCCAGTCACCACGCTGCTTTCCGAAAACTCAATGTAAAATTTGAAAACCAGTAAAATTTGTTTTGTTTTTTTTTTAAAAAAAAACAACAACTAATAAAATCTAGATAAAGAAAAAAGAAAAAGAGAGAAATACCAGGTCAGATCTGCCATCTCGTTGCTTTCGCTTTGATGGCATCCTGCTATAAAAAGAGAGAGGGAGGAGAAAAGCAATATAGGGTGACAGGAAGCACAGATGCCAGCCTCAGACAGAACTTGGCAGATCCCAGGAGCCGAGCGTGAGAACGGAATGCAAGAGGGCGCCAAACTTTAGGACTGTTACCCCAAACAACTGGATTGGACCCCACTGTATATTTGCAAAAGAGCCAAGAAAGAGGGGCGGGCCCAGGGGAAGGGAAAAGCACTGGGTTTACGCAGGAATGTTCGTATCTGGCTTTTCTGTAACCCACCTTCCCTCCAATAAAAGCTACACCTCTCGCTATAAATGGGAGCTGAGGGTCTTCCTTTCCTAAATGCCCACGCTGGGACAGACCTGACACACTGCTTCATTTGGATAAGACTACTGGCAAAGCCCTCCCCCCCCAAATTCCTGGCTGTTATTTAGTCATACCCTGCAGGCCAGATCAGTCCATCAGCTGCCCCAACAGAAGGTGTCCGGCCTTGACAACTTTTAAGAACCCGTGGACGTCAATTCCCAGAATTCCCCAGCAAACGCGGCCGGCTGGGGCAAAATTCTAGGAGTGGGAAGGCCCACAAGTCTTAAAAAGTTGCCACATTTGGGGACCCTGAATGTAGACCATGATCTCATGTGGGCGTGTGTGGACACCGTCTTCTATCAAATGTTACAAAAGGTTGTCCGATACAAACCTTCATATCAAGAGGCCAGGCCTGCATTTAGCCAGTGAGATCATATTAAATTGAGAATAACCACTTTGCTCTCCAGCCAGGGAGATGAATTTTGAATTAGGAATTTTGAAACTAGGACAGCGGGAGGGAGGGCCCGACTTTTGCCAAGCAAGGCAGGAAAAAGCAGAGGTAATTATTTGGACTTGGGACAATGATTTGGGCTTTCACACTCAGCAAAGACGGTAGAAATTATTCAAGGACCACGCGCGTTACAGTTACACCACTACTTGCGCTTAGAAATTGGCCACAAATAGGGTTTTTTTTACAACCGAGGTTTAAAAAAAAAAAGTGTTCACCTTAGTTTCTCCTTGGAAATTCCTGTATTCTCTCAACAATTTCTGGCTTCTAAATAATTCTGTAAGAAAAGAAAGAGAAAGATGGGTAACGGCTGCTGCGATGGTCAAGATGGATGTCTTTAATGGAGAAGAGTCAAGGATTCAGTGTAGTTCTACAGTTCTTATAATGTTTATGGGAATAAAATTCCCTCTCCAATTTTAGATTTATGGTTATGAGAGTAAATCTGGCATCAAGACCAGTTGCCATGACCCCTTTCAAACTTAGAATAGAGCTGGAAGGGACTTTGGAGGTCTTCTAGTCCAGCCCCCTCAAGCAGAACCTATGTACCATCTCAGATAAATGACAGGACACCACCCAGCCGGTTCTAAGAGGCTTGTGGTCAATGAAGTGAAATACAAACTCGGAACTCCCGTCACTGACCTAACGTCATCTCAAAACCCAATTCAACCCATCCTCCCCATGCCACTGACTTTCAGAACTATAATAATGATGATGATGATGATGATGAGAATAATAATAATAGTTGGAAGGGACCTTGGAGGTCATCTAGTCCAACCCCCTGCTCAGGCAGGAAACCTTATACCATTTTGGACAAATGGCTGTCCAGTCTCTTCTTAAAAACTTCCAGTGTTGGAGCATTAACAGCTCTGGAGGCAGGTTGTTCCACTGATTAATTGTTCTCACTGTCAGGAAGTTTCTCTTGAGTTCCAGGTTGCTTCTCTCCTTGGTTAGTTTCCATCCACTGCTTCTTGCCCTGCCTTCAGGCGCTTTGGAGAATAGCTTAACTCCCTCTTCTTTGGGGCAGCCCCTGAGATACTGGAACACAGCTATCATGTCCCCCCCCACCCGGTCCTTCTCTTCATTAAACTAGACATACCCAATTCCAGCAACCGTTTCTTTTGTTTTAGCCTCCAGTCCCCTAATCATCTTTGTTGCTCTTCTCTGCACTCTTTCTGGAGTCTCAACATCTTTTTTTACATCGCGGTGAACAAAACTGGACGCCGTATTCCAAGTGTGGCCTTACCAAGGCCTTGTAAAGTGGTATTAACACCTGATCTTGATTCTATCCCTCTGTTAATGCAGCCTAGCACTGCTTCCAATTACGTCCATTTCCAGAAGATCTTAGAAGCCACGCATTAAAAAAAAAAAACCACCAATTTAATTAAACACACCACTGGGTGTTCCTCACAATCAAAACGACGAAGCCCTTCCAGGCGTGTTTTACACTTACTTTCCATGTATTCCCTTTCAGCTTCTTTGCGCCGTTTCCTCTCCCGCGCAAGGGCTTCCGGGCTGCCCCAGACTTCTATAGACCTGTTTTAACAAAGGGGGGGGGGTGATGGTGGAGAAAAGATATACAGATCTGACTTGCCAACCCTTTTGAGTACACACAAAAGGAGAAGACGTGACATGCTCTCTGGAAAATGAAATACACGGATGTCCAAGTTGAGCTAACAAAATATGATGTTAACCGAGCTAAGCTAAAGAAAAAAAAAAGGGGGGGGGGAAACTTGCTGATTCTGAAAGAGGATTTTTTTTTTTTTGTTTAACTCTTCCTGAATTCAGCCCACATTAGGATTCAAGCAGGTTTTCTCCAACATGCTGCTATCCAGATGACTTGACTGGTAGGCTGGGAGCTGCTCTGCAATTTATCGGGCTCATAGCACAATTAAACCTTCCATATTTCCCCTTAGATATCTTCATGAATAATGACAAAGAGACACACAATCTGTTATAGTCACAGCCTGAGCCGTGCTGTCTCTTAAGTGCTGGAAAAAAAGAGAAATACCAAAAAGGGTTGTTTATGTGGTTTAACCGAAATTCGTTGACAATTCCTCTCTATTTTTAAGATTCTTGCCTGATCAGTTGATTGGTTAATGGGAAAACACAAATTAAACAGCAGTTAAACACAAATTAAGCATTGCCCATTCCCACTAAGCCACAATTGGGGGGGGGAATCAACACTCTGATTTAACTGCCTGAAGAAACCACAATTAAATGAGAGTCAAAGCTGACTAGGTTAAAGCAGTTTACCAGTTAATTAGCAAATGGTGCGAACTCTACAGGAAAGCGTTAGAAATTAAATCTCTACGTAAGATAACCTTTTCAAAGATGCTCTTACTTAGCTTCCACTTCTGATCTCAAAAACACAGTGAAAGCTTCGGTGTCATCGTGAGGGCTTCGCCGCTTGATTTTTCGAAGCTGGTCAAGATCACTGTTGAAGGAGACAGACAAAAAAAAAATCGTCTTGAAAGAAGAAAAGCAGGGATTATAAAGATGGTCCACGTTCGTCATCTGGAAGGCGCGTCCATTTTGCGGGATCCCAATTAGGACCAAGCTGATTGCTATTAAATAACAAAAATGGACTGTTGGCCAAACACTTTGCCAAAATATTTTTGATGGCTGGCTGGGAGTTGAAGTCCACAGGTCTTAAAGGTTGCCAAAGTTGGGCACACCTGTTCTAAAGTATGATTACTTCTTATAGTAGCATGTCAAACAATTACGGGTTTTCAAGAAACCTTGTTGAGATTTTCTGTGTAAGAACTGTGCCTGAACAGCCCTCTCTTTTAGTGGCACAGGCCTTTAAGCTATTGGCAACCACTTCCTAGACCAGTGATTCTCAACCTTTCTAATGCCGTGACCCCATAATACAGTTCCCCATGTTGTGGTGACCCCCAAGTGGGTGTGGCCACCAATAAGAGGGAGTAGGACAGCTAGGGAAAAGGGAAAAAAATGGCGGACAGCGTGGTTTGGCGACCCCCGTGAAATGGTCGTTCGACCCCAAATGGGGTCCCGACCCACAGGTTGAGAACCACTGTCCTAGACTGATAAATAATAGCAATCCTAAAATTAAAAAAGTGGCACCTCGGTACTCGTTGTTAATTGGTTCTGGGATGAGTACCAAAACCGATGAATACAAAACAAATTTTTCCCATAAGAAAGAATATAGTGAGTCACAAGGTGGCCGACATCGACAATTTTTAGCTTATGTATTGAGTGCCAAACAAACGACGACTACCGGGACACAATTTTCATGTCAAAATGCGTTGAGTGCCAAGTTTGATGAGTTTCAAAGCTAAAGGTACCTGTTGTGATTCCTCGCCAGCCAGTGGACCCGGCAGCTGAGTCCGAGGAATCAGAGGAGGAAGGGCCTGGAGTGACATCAGAGTCAGAGGAAGGCTCTGAGCAGCTCCCAGACTTACAGTCGGGCCCCTCTACTCGTGCTCAGGCTGAGACACAGCTGTGCTGGGAGTCTGAGTTGGACAGTGCTGAAGAACAGCTGGGACAAATCCCGGATGCACGAATGCACAGGCAAGAGAAGCGAGTAGGACAGAGGAATGCAATGGGGCAGCTTCAAAGGCGAAGGCATTAGGAAGCCACACCTTGGCTGCATACTAAAAGGGGAGGTGTGGGAGGTGCTGATGGCCGAAGGCAGACGTTCATGTTGAGGATCGAGTTTCAGTGAACTGTGTTTTGTTTGTCTTGGACATGGACTCAGTCTGTGAGAATAAAAGGGGATTGGTTTTTTCTTGTGGTTCCTGCCCATTTCTTGGAAGAGGAGTTTTTCCTTGTGAGCATAACAAGGACTCACGTGGGCTGGGACAGAACAGTACCACTGAATTTGGTACCTCTTGTTTGTAGTATTTTTTGCCACCCATTTGTACTTGTAAGGTTGTAGAGTAGCTTTGAAAAACACTGTGTCATACAAATTTAACATCTGAAGAGATGAACGTACCTGGACTTAAGGCAAAATTCACTTATTGCTCTCACGCCAGTGATGAAGTTATTCTTTGTGTAATTTGGTCCATATTCTCTTTTTTTAAGCACAGCTTTCACTTGAAAAGAGAGAAGGGGGGAAGCATTACAGGTAGTCCTTGACTTAACAGTTCATTTAGTGACGGTTCAAAATTACAACAGCACTGAAAAAAGTGACTTATGATCCTTTTTCACACTTATGACCTGTTGCCCCATGGCCACGTAATCAAAATTCGGATGCTTGACAACTGACTTCACACTTATGACTATCGCAGGGTCCCGGGGTTATATGATCCTCTTTTGTGACGTTTTGACAAGCAAAAGTCCAAGGGGGGGGGGAAGCCTGATTCACTTAACAACTGTGATCCTAACTTAAAAAGTGCAGCGATTCACTTAACAACTGTGGCAAAAAAGGTTGTAAAATTGGGGCAAAACTCATTTCACCAATTTCTGCTTTAGCAACATAAATTTTGGTCACTAAGGCGAGGACTACTTGTACTAATGTTAACACATTTTCACCCACGGGATTAAACCCAGCCAAATTTGTTCTCATTTGCCCAGAGGTTACCCGTGGCCAGGTTATTAAATTTGAAAAGTGAACGACAAACCGAAAGCGGATTCTCAGTCAGGAGCCAAGTGGGAATGATAGCTTTATTACCAATCAAGAATGGACTTGTTTAAGAATAAGTTGGATTCGGAGTCTGAATACCCTTAAGGATAAATACAAAGCTTATCTTTGATAAGCTTTGGTATGTGATTCTATGCATGCCCACGGAAGGACATCAATTACCTTTTACTTGAATTGGTGGCTGTGGGAAAGGAATTTGATTGAGAGCGTCCCGGGCTGGAAAAATAAAACACACAGTCACATTGTTGTGTTTGCGTCGTAAGAATAAAACAGAAAGACATTGGGATGGCATTTATTATTTGGTAAGTGGAACGGACAAGGCGGAAAGCAATTTCAAACTTTTGACGACAAATCCTACAACGATTTCTTTCCCTTCACAGTCTTGCTAATTCCACAATTCAAATTTTAACTGATTCACTTCCCAACGAAAAGGTCCTTTACATTGTAAGGACACAACAAAAGAAACTAGCTAGCACCCTTCTTGTGAGTAGATTGTGCTCTTTTGCCTTAGTATCGGAAAGAAAGGAAATGAGAATTCTTCTAGCTCTATTGCACTGTAGGCCACAATTTACTCCAAGCTAAAAACTAGAGAATAACACTGATTTTACTAGGAGTAAAATGTATCCCAGATATGGGATCATGCCTTTTTAATTATCAGCATCAACAATACTGTATTGAGTTATGACCTCAGTAACAAAGTTGATATACTGTTGCTTTATTCCCTGGAGTTGGACACCTGCCATATATCCGCTACCAGTAAATTGAAATGAATTCCACTAAATTAAAGACATTAGAATTTGCCTTCTGAATGGAAGACCCTGGCAAGAAAATATCTTTCTGTTAATAACAAGCATGCTTGACTCATGGTATGAATTAGTAAAAAAACAAGCAAACCACAACTTGATTTTAAGACTAGAATTTCTCCTTGAACTCGGAGGAAACAGGGTGGACAACAATATCAGAATAATCTTTTCCATTGAATAAGCTAAACAAAATAGACCTAAATGTAAACGTTTTTATTTGCCCCAATACACAGTAGCAACTTGCTGAGCATGCTTGAAGTAGATTTGTTCCCAATACAAATAATACTTTAAAAAAGCTAAAAGTTGGCTAAAAGTTGTTTTTTTTTAAAATATATATTTTATTGGTTTTATAGTTTTAACAAAAAAGTACTTAAGACACACTGTGGTGTTTGGGTACACAAAGATTCCAACATAAAATCACACAATAACAGCTCAACTTAATACATTCACTATCATCTCTCTATTTCCCTCAAGTAACATAGTAAATTTAATACATTTCATTTCTATCCTAAATTTCTATTACTGCTAAACCTGTTTATTAAAACTTAAAATCGATTTCAATTACCATAGTCAGATAGTGTTTTACATCAGCATATTATCACTTCAAATACCTCTTGCAAATATATTCAAATTCTTAATCCCTCTCATCCCTTTTTTATCACCAATCTTATTTATTTCTTCTTCCAATAATAACTAATTTAATAAAAAAAGAAAACAATATTATCATATCTTATCAAATCATATTATTATGCACAAACATCTCATAAGTAATTAAACATTACACATGTATATAGTTATAGTTTTCTTACTTCTAAATCTAAATCATGATCCTTAACCTTTCAGTCAATAATTCCATTTTTGTTAATTATAGTAGTCTTTGACTTAATTCATTTCCATTCATTAAAAAAAAACGAATTCCATCTAATTAATTATCATACCATATCAAAACGTATTATACACAAAAATCTCCTAATTAATTAAGCATTTCAAAAATTCCAGTCTAAATCAATCTATTATTCCAAGGAGTACATTCTTAGTCTCTATAAAGCCAAGTTTCTTTTTTCACTCCACATTTAACTAAAAGTTGTTTTCTGTTCCTATCGTCTTATCCTTGCAGCACTAAAACTACAGTCACGTTTTCAGCTGGGAAACCAGAGCTGGTTGGGTGATTCAACGTTGCAACACGAGAGACCTCTGGGTTTAAACCTGGTTAAACCTAATCTGTTCACTATAGCACTGCTATCAACGGGGCTGGACCTACCAGCGGCTGTCTTCTGCGCACTGCCTTCTGGAGAACTTGCGTCTGGCGTTCTTGTGCTGTTTTTCTGATCGTTGGAGGAATAAGCTCTTACTTGACTTGAAGGATGAGGCAGACAGCCCCCTGGCAGGATGGCTGAGAGTCTCCCAGCTTTAATCGGTACTTGCCACCCTGATGGAAACATGAAAGTGGATGGTAGTTTTAGAAGGCAGAAGAAAACCCTGATAAATACTAAAAAAACCCAAAACCCAGCTGAGAGGACATAACACGGTTATGATTATTGAAATGTTCGCTGTATGGGTTTACCAAAGGACAATAGGAATCCTGCAGAGAAGAGTTAAAAGAATATTAAGACTGGTGCTAAAATACTTGTATGTCACTGAATTATCGATTAACTCAGTCGCCACATTACTTTTAAAATATTTAAATGTAAAATTAGACAATCAATAAAACATTTAAAAAAATAAAATAAAAGAATATTCAAAGGTGGGCAAAGAACACTAAAAAGCCAAGAGGGACCAGATAACCTAGTTCTGGATCCTAACCTGTGATGAGGAAACAATCAATGTTACTCTTGCTGAACCATTTTATGGCCCATTAAAATATTTCTCCAAAACTAAGTTGATTTACTTCCGTTGTACATTCCCCAAATTCCACTCCTCGTAAAGAATGACTTTGTTATGCTCACTAACGGGATGCAGTAAAGTTAGCTTCTGTATCGGAGAATTATTTAAAGCTACGAGAAACATTTGCAAAATAATCAAGATGTATCCTGCAGCCAGGCAGAGATATCTTTAAACAGATTGAGCCTTCCCCCCCCTCCCTTCAAGCTGCCGATATACACAAAATGACCTTAACTTGATCTATTTGCAAGCTAAGATAAATCTAGGGATGCAGCTAACAGCTGGGTTCCCATGCAATATTAGGCATTAACTCAGCTTGATTTTCACTTAACACATACAAAGCCAGCTATTGCTGGTTTAGGACTCTGCTCAGTCTCTAGACCAGGGGTCTGGCTGAGAAATTCTGGGAGTTGAAGTCCACGAGTCATAAAAGAGCCAAGGTTGCCTGCCTCTGGTCTAGGTTTTCCTGCCTGAGCAGGGGGTGGACTAGATGACCTCCAAGGTCCCTTCCAATTTTATTATTATTATTATTATGGATCATCGCACAGTCAGCCAGATGTTCAGACTGGATTTGGCATTTTGTCTACCTATCGAGTCCTTACCCAGGACCTGGGATAGGCAGATGTGGATGTTTGATGGTATTACAGATCTCGTCGCAGGATGGAAGCAGTTCCTAGTAAGGCCGCCTTTTGCAATTGACTAATGGCGAATTTGTCAATGCCAAATGGTGTTCAAGTGGTGCTCCAGTTGTTTTGGGATTGCACCCAAGGCGCCTATGACTATTGGTACTACCCTTGCTTGCTTTTGCCACAGTCTTTCTATTTCTATTTGTAGGTCTTTGTATTTTGTTATCTTCTCCAGTTCTTTCTCGTCTATTCTGCTGTCTCCAGGCACTGCCACGTCCACTATCCAGACTTTTTTGTCTTTCTTATCGACAATTGTTAAGTCCGGGGTGTTATGTTGTTGTTGTTATTACTATTATTATTCTGTTGTTGTAAGTCTATTAAGAATCGACTACCCGTAGATTAAGAATCTCAAAGAATTAAGACTGGCTGAATTTAGACGACGAGTATCTTGTACACAATGAGTTAGATCTGCCCTACAAGGTCACTCTGGGCGGCTGACGGGTTATAAAACAAGGTGTTTTTTTTTAAAAAAAATAATAATTAAAATATAATCCACTGTGGATCTTAAACGGGGGGGGGGCAGAAGGACCCACCATTAATCCCCTGCAAAGGGCGTCGAGGGCCAAGATCCTTTCAAGGCCGGGCTGGACCCCCTCAGACCCCCCACCCCATCGGTCAGAAAACCCCGCCGGGCCTTGCCAGGCCTCGGAGGGCCCCCCCGGCCCCACTCACCGGGGCAGACCGGCGGGCACCGGCCCCGCCGCCGCAGCAGACGCAGCTGGTAAAAGCAGCGCCATCCCCTCCGCTGAGCGGCCAGAGCCGGCAGCATCCTCCCGCGCTCGGGCGACCTGCGAAAAAAGAGGGAGGCCGGCGTGGAAGGCGCCTCATGGGTGACTCCGCGCCCGGCCGGTCTTCCACAGACGAGCGGCCGCCATCTTGGGAAGGCGGAAGTCTTCAAGAAGCCGGATGTGGAAGGGGGGAAAGAAAAAAGAACCGGTGCCGCTCTGCTCTCCTCCTCTATGATCTTGCCTTGAGGGAGCGCAGGGATCTCTAACACGCTGAGGGGTTTTTTTCCTTATCGCCTACGTCATTTCCTGTTTGGGGTGACGTTACGGGCGTAACCATTTTCCCCTAGGTTCACCTTTGCGGGGATGCTCCTCTCCGTTCTCCGTTCCCCCCCCTCGCCTGAAATGGGACGGCCTGTTTTTGCCTGCACTCAAGATGCTCTCGAATAACCGAGTTAAGTCTTGGTTAATTTGGTCCCCCCGGAACGAAGCAGGGTTGTAGATTGGACAGGGAAAGAGGGGAACTTTTCTGGTGTTGCCCGGAAAAAGCAGCATCCATAGCATCATGGGCTGAGCTAAGAACGTGCTGGTTTTGAGATGCCCAAATGGGCAGACTGTTCCTTTTGCAGGATCCTCCATGCTTCCTCCTGACCAAGGACCAAGGGTTAATAATAATAACAATAATAATAATAATAAAGTTGAAAGGTACCTTGGAGGTCATCTAGTCCAACCGCCTGCTCAGGCAGGTAACCCTACACCAGTGTTTCTCAACCTTGACAATTTTAAGGCATGTGGACTTCAACTCCCAGAATTCCATAGCCAGCATTGTTGGCTGTGGAATTCTGCGAGTTGAAGTCCACATGCCTTAAAATTGTCAAGGTTGAGAAACACTGGCCTACACCATTTCGGACAAATGGCTGTCCAGTCTCTTCTTAAAAACTTCCAGTGTTGGAGAAGGGAGGGAGGGAGGGAGGGAAGAAGGAAGGAAGGAAGGTAAAAACAGAATAACAGAGTTGGAAGGAACCTTGGAGGTCATCTAGTCCAACCCCCTGCTCAGGCTGGAAACCCTACACCATTTCGGACAAATGGCTGTCCAGTTTCTTCTTAAAAACTTCCAGTGTGGGAGCATCCACTGCTTCTGGAGGCAGGTTGTTCCACTGGTTAATTGTTCTCACTGTCAGGAAGTTTCTCTTTAGTTCCAGGTTGCTTCTCTCCTTGGTCAGTTTCCATCCGTTGCTTCTTGTCCTGCCTTCAGGGGATTTGGAGAATAGCTTGACTCCCTCTTCTTTGGGGCAGCCCCTGAGATATTGGAAGGCTGCTCTCATGTCCCCCCCTCGTCCTTCTCTGCATTAAGCTAGACATACCCAATTCCAGCAGCCGTTCCTTATATGCTTTAGCCCCCCGTCTCCTGATCATCTTTGTTGCTCTTCTCTGCACTCTTTTCTAGAGTCTCAGCATCTTTTTTACATTGTGGTCCCCGAGCTTGGTTGTTTTCTTGCAGATGTTTCAACACCATCAATGCTAGAAGAGAGTGGGGTTTCTGGAGAGGAGGAGTAGGACTGTGAGGTCCTTGGTGCACTCTGAGCTCGGTTGCTTTCTTACACACGTTTCAAGACCCAACTAGGTAACATCATCCATGCTAGAAGAGATTAGGGTGTGTGGAGAGGAGGAGGAGGAGGTACTTTCACTTCTCATCTGAGAAGCTTCATCGGTGGAGCTTCTTCTAATGGAAGGATTAGTTCCACCACCATTTGCACTCTCTCTGCTAGCCTTCTTCTCTCCCTCCCATCTTCCTCTTTCTCCTTCCCTTTCATCCTTCCCCCAAAGGTGCTGTCTCAGGAGGCAACTGGACTTCCTTTTTTCTCTTTGAAGACGTTTCACTTCTCCTTCCATTCCCCGCCATCCAGCCAGAGTTGAAGAAGCTTCTTGGATGAGAAGCGAAACATCTTCGAAGAGAGAGAGAAAAAAGTCCAGTTGCCTTGTGAAAAAACATCTTTGGTTCACTGCATAGTCAGCCAGATATTTAAACTGGATTTGGCTTTTTTTTTTCCCCCACCTAGTGAGCCCTTTCCAGTGAGATGGGCAGATGTTGTTGAATAATATTGCAGTAAATTTCTTATTTACTGTCTTATTTTCAGAGGGTGACGATTAGCTCTGTAAAATGGACGGGTCAGTCAGTGCTCTGGCTTTATAAACAATTATCAAAAGGCTGAAAGACTCACGTTGTGGGAAGCAACGTTCAAATTGCCCAAAGGTACATTGCATAACTCAGTGGTTCTCAACCTTTTTAATGCCGCGACCCCCAACCGGTCGTAAGTCGAGGACTACTCAACCGGTCGTAAGTCGAGGACTACTCAACTGGTGCAGCACCGTTTGCAGAATGGGACTTTTGGCGGGCTCAGCAGGGCAGAGACAGCCTGGACAATTCCTATTGGCTTTTGAAAGCCAATAGAATTAGACTCTATTCAAGAGAGTCTATTCTATTGCTTTCAAAAGCCAATAGAATAAAAGGGAGTAGCACAGCTAAGGAAAAGGGGGAAAAAATGGTGGACTGCATTGTTTGGCGACCCCCGTGAAATGGTCGTTCGACCCCAAATGGGGTCCCGACCCACAGGTTGAGAACCACTGGCATAACTACATACACAGTTTTTAACCATCCTTATATAGAGGTACGTAACTTGACCGAAAACAAGACAGAGCGACCCCATCGGCAAGTAGGGCGGGCCCAATTGGCAAAAGAAAGCTCAGGACCATTGTTAGTTGGAAACAGGCCTTCATCCTGCAGGGGGTAGACCGTGGCTAAAACGACGATGATGGTGATGAACTTGAGGCAATAGATCTGCAGCCATCCAAACATCGCAGTAGAAGTAGGCTGCCAGCCGGATTCTTGGAAGTCCGCAATAACCTTCAACATGCATCCATCAAGGTGTCCGTTGGGGACTAAACGCCCGGCTAATTGTTACGCCCAGATGTTTCTCTATTAAGTGGCAGATGGGCGTTCATGAGTATTAAATTACCTGTGGGTGACCTTAAAAAGAGATTCCAGGGAATGCCGCCTCCCCGTTTATTGGTCAACTCGAAGAGATGAAATGAAGTCCACGCGGGCAGTAAACAAGAAGGGTTTTTAAGAGGTGGAATGTAAGATCGACACAGATAAAAGGCTTACTAACGTTCAAAATACCGCACTGGACCTAATATTAGTTGCAAGGAGCACCTGTGAGCATCACACAGAGGGTGAATTATATGTAGTGTTGCACCAGAGGGCAGCATTTGAGAAAGAAAAGGCGAGCCAGGGGCGAATCCACACCTCCCTTTCTTTGAACGGATTTGATATTCCGGTCTGCTCCAAAACAAAACGCCTGGACCAACATAGTTTAACTAATTTCATACTTTGGTGGTGAAGGCGGAGCTTGGGATTCACCGTGTGGCTTGATACTTCGGTGGCCTGGGGACGCAACATGTATGGGGAAAAATGCACGCCCAGCAAACTGCCGTGCTTCCCCCCCCCCCCACAAACCTCATAACCTTTTGATACCCTTTGTCCCAATGAAGCAGCCAGAAGGTCATCCACTTTTGACTTAATGCCTCACTTACCTAAACATATAATATGCTTAATTTCCTTCCTATCTCTTCCTGTCTTTGTCAGTTCTTTCTCCTTTTGATCTACCTGTATTTGTTCTTACCTGGTCTTTGACCATGTAATGCAGTGGTTCTCAACCTTTTTAATGCCGTGACCCCCAACCGGTCGTAAGTCGAGGACTACTCAACTGGTCGTAAGTCGAGGACTACTCAACTGGTGCAGCACCGTTTGCAGAAGGGGACTTTTGGCGGGCTCAGCAGGGCAGAGACAGCCTGGACAATTCCTATTGGCTTTTGAAAGCCAATAGAATTAGACTCTATTCAAGAGAGTCTATTCTATTGGCTTTCAAAAGCCAATAGAATGAAAGGGAGTAGCACAGCTAAGGAAAAGGGGGGAAAAAATGGCGGACTGCGTTGTTTGGCAACCCCCGTGAAATGGTCGTTCGACCCCAAATGGGGTCCCGACCCACAGGTTGAGAACCACTGATGTAATGTGTTACTAGAAAATAGTTACTTACATGAAGACATTTTCCAATGAAGAAACCTTTGTCAGCATCTAATGGTTAAGCTGGTGTATGTAACAAGTATATAAGAAGCAATAAACTCAAGAGTTTGTCAAGCTGTGTCCTGCAGCTTCAAACCTCTGCTCAACACATGCCTGCGTCTTTTTCTTAGCGTCTTACAACTTGCAACCACGGAACCCGTGCGAATTCAAGAGGCCGCAGAGCAGAGTATCTAACCCCAGGTCCTGCAAAACAGCGAAGGCTCGACGGACGCAGGTGGAACTTTGCCCTCATGCAGGGTAGCACAAAAACGGCATTCACACGAGCCGCTCAAATGGCAACTCGGATAAAGCGCTAAAATGAGATTCTGCGACGAGCGCGTCTGCTTTTCGCACCTTGCCAATACAGAGACAATAATACGGGAAGCATTTGGAATGAATTGTACCTCATTCATACAGGCACTCCTCGACTTACAGCCGTTCGTTTAGTGACTGTTCAAAGCTGTGACGGCCCGGGGGGAAAAAAAATAAGGGACTCACGACTGTTTCTCACACTTGACGACCGTTTGTGGCATCCCCGAGACCGCGTGATCAAAATTCAGGCGCCTGGCACACCGGTTTGTATTTATGACAGTCGCAGCGTCCCCCGGGGTTACGGAATTCCCATTTAACGACCGGGTTGCTAACTTCACGAGTGCGGTGGTTCACTTAAACAACTGCAGCGAGAAAGCCCGTGAAACGGGCAAAGCTCAGTTAACCAATGTTTTGCTTAGCAACAGAAGCTAAGTCGTAAGTCGAGGACTACCTGTATGGTGGGTGTTTGCCTGCAGGCACACCTCGCAGGCTGGTCTGGAGGCCAGGCTAAGTGTTGCCTGTCAACGCTGCTAACATCGGATGCTCTTGCTTTGACAATATATGAAAATGCAGCCATTTCCCCCTTGTGTGTTACTTTTTAGAGTTAGAATTAGATGATGCTGGAGGGGGGGAGGGGGGGGAGAAGGAAGAATGTGTATGGGGATTAGTTAGTTAACAACCTCGTAGTAGAGTGTTTTTTTCCAAGGCTGTTTGAAATAAGAGATGATAAGGAATGGCCGGGTTGGAGAACTGGAGGGGA